GCCTTACTTCCCAGGACTGCACCTGGCACCCACTCAAGGTTAGATCGACCTGGGAGCCAAGGTCATTTTTGAAGAAAAAAAAGTCTCGCTCTTTCAGGACTCGAACTCACGACCTTCTGATTCGCAGGCGAACGCCTAGCCGCTACACCACGGCGCCTCCCGGATATGGTTCGAAAGGCTTGTACAGTCAGTAGTAGTTAAGAGTATTTGAGAGAATATATTCTAAATACAATTAGCTTGAATCTACAATGTAACTATGGCAATTATTAAGCTGTTGGAGTCGAAAGAGAACCAGACGATTTATATTTGAACGAACAAGCTTGGTACCAATCACAGCTCTGATATTAATAGGCAACAGCTATACGAAGATATTTTGGATTGCAGAATGCAGCTGTCCAGTCGTGCCTACATAAAGATAACACGACCTGAAGAACTTCATTATTCAGTGTAGAGATGAGAGCGTCCATAATATTCGATCTCACTACCCAGAGACCAGGGGGAAATTACTAGTAAGTCCACGTGAAAAAAAATCCCAGCCGGGGATTGAACCCGGAACCTCTAGCTCTCGAGGCGGACAACATGCCAACATGTATTGATAGTCCTTTCTTGCTGCTTGCTTGTTGTACCCCACCAGGACATCACATAAGCGATAAACACCTGGTGACACAAAGTGCCACAATGCGGATGAGAATCACCCCTGGAGAGGTCCCAGGAACCCCTTTTAGCCGTTATGGATCCAAGTGTGGCCCAGCTATATTAAGGGCCCCAGACAAAAGATACAGGAGCTTCAAATAGCGAAAAATCGCAACCCACAAGGGGATGACTTCGATAAATGTGACAGTCACTGCGGGGCCCCTTTAAAATACTACTCCACCGGAGGACTCAAGGTAGTGAAAAGAATCCAGATCTTCTGTCTGCTACCCAATCACTCATTGAAGTATCACTGATCAACGTCGCGATAACCAGTTTCCGACGCCTCCACATCACAATTCCATACTGGCCAACAGTCACCACAGCACCTTCTGTAGTAGTTAAAGACCCCAGCGTGCCTCAAAGCCTCAACTGTGCTGACCCAAACACACATGGGTCGCACAACTGTCCATTCTAGAAATCATACTGACAGAATTCCGAAGTCCAATTCATGATCCACCACAGTCACCCGGACAGTTCACACGAGCTACCCAGAATAAAACGTTGCTAAAACTGTCACACACCAAATCGCGCACATGTCACAACACTCAGACTGAAGGCTGAATGACTATCTCAAAATACCAATGTCCCCCCCACCCCCCACCCGCAGTCAATTCTGCGTGGATCTCACTTTCTCGCCACACACGTGAGGTTCACAACCCACCTGTTCTGTCGACCCACACGGATCCAACAATATCCGCGATGTCCCTCAATACAAATGTATGCAAGTGTGTACCCATGCTTCACAAAGTCCTGTCTTTATTAACTCTTTAGACCCCACTTTGACTTTACAACCCAAAACTCTTGTGGTAGTTTGAGTCGGTCAGCATTTCAGTCAGCCAAAGTGTGTGAAATTGCGCGCGAATTGTTGTGTGACAGTTTTAGCAATGTGTTATTCTGTGGAGCTGATGTGAACTGTGGTACCTTATTTTTTGTGTTAGGTCTTCTCCTGTGCCCCTGAGTGGTCGTCGCACGCATCAGTGGAGACTAAGCCGTGCCCGGTCTTTGAACCTCCTATCCTATGGTGTCATACGTCATTTGGGGACCAAGCCTTCCTACGCTGGAGATTACACCAATGGAGACCAAGTCCCTAATCTGCATTGTACGTCAAATGGCGGCCAAACAATACCGCTTGAAAGCAGTAACCACAACACTATCTAGATGCCGAACCTCCTTATGTTGAGAACATTAGCTACAACAACGGAGGTCAATCATCACAACGCTGGAGAGCAGTTGCTATAACACAGGTTTCAAGGACATGGAGCCATTAGGACAGTGAGATTCTCTAGGGTACATGCACAGACCAGAGACAGACCACTAAAGAATGTAGGCACAGACTAGAAAGTGCAGGCACATACTAGAGAGTGTAGGCACAGACTAGAGAGTGTAGGCACAGACTAGAGAGTGTAGGCACAGACTAGAGAGTGTAGGCACAGACTAGGGAGTGTAGGCACAGACTAGAGAGTGTAGGCACAGACTAGAGAGTGTAGGCACAGACTAGAAAGTGGAGACACAGACTAGAGAGTGGAGGCACAGACTAGAAAGTGGAGACACAGACGAAAGGGGAGGCACATACTACAGCGTGTAGGCCCATACTAGAGCGTGTAGGCACATAATAAAGCGTGTTGGCACAGACTAGAAAGTGTAGGCACATAATAGAGTTTGCTGTGTGGAAAGTTGCACCCATTTCCTGACCTAGTTATGGAGGTCATATGCTGCTGAAATCAAGAGCTGGGAGTCGGCAATGGCTACCTGACTTTCTACGTCCCTGTTGTGTTGGCTGAGAGGTCAGCTAGCACTGTGTGGTTGTCAACATCGACTACCAAGAAGTGATGACAAGGGAAAGCACAGATGTGTGCCGTCATTGTAAACAATTGTTGTAAACACTAGGCATCACAGGCCAGGCGCATGCGCACGGGAAGTTAACTCGCATTGAGAAATAAAATGGCGGTCTACCTGAAGAAATGTAAGGCTGTATGAGGAAGCCGCGAGGGCACAAACTACACTTTTTATTTACAAGGGCCGTTTTTTTACACACAGACTCAGGTAATATCGGAGATTTTATTGTCTTTGTTACTAACGGAGGACAGTGTTTGGGCATTCTTTTTTATTCCTCACGTTTGCATACCAGTTACCCAAAGTTAAGAAATAAGTAAGAACTGGTGACAATTCAGTTCTTTTGCTCATTATATTTGCAGTTGCTAGACTGAAGTCACGAAGTGAAGATTATATTTTGACTTTCTTAACTAACTGTTAACGAGAGTAACAAAATTTTAGAATACAAATTTAGATTTATGTGTCTTAAGTGTCTTCAGCCAAAATTGGAATTGTAATTTAAGTTTAAGAAGATCCTGTCTGTCCTTTTGAAAACAATCCACAATTAAAATTAAATACAGAGCTAGCTGCTGCATATAATCATATATATTATATAGATGAACGTTTTATTTATTTTTTAAATTGCAGCACAGCAGGGAGTCTGCGAATGAAATAAGTTTAACGTCATTATGAACTTATAGCAACAGAACACAATTTGGACTACGATATTAGAACTATTGTCATTAAGCCATATTCATATCTTGAGCATCTGGTGAAGTTATGTATATTTGGATGTTACTTATGAAACTATCACATCTAAGTAGAAATGAAAATTACAAAATTGATACCTCAATAAAGCCTGTAAGCCAATTCTAAGCAGAGATATTAACATTTGGCTATCCTTCGAATAACGGGCACATATTATGGTGGCCAGAAACACACCCTGACAGGGCCTCAGTCATGTATACATTGTGGACTTCCGGCAACTTGAATTGTGGATTTCCGGTGCACCGCCAAGAGTATCTCCCATGCTGCTACGCGCGACGTGGAGTGGGGCTAAACTAGATGGCTGGGAATCACGAGCAGCAGCTAACGCATCTCCTGCAGCTTCCTTCACTTTATTTGCTCGTTAGTCCCCGCCATCTAGTTTAGCCCCACTCCAGGCCGCGCGTAGCGGCGTGGAAGAGCTTCTGGCCGGTGGTGGAAGTCCGCAATGTACACGTAACACTAACTGAGGGTATATTTTGGTCCTCCATAATATGTTCCCGTTATTCGGAGGATAGCCTGACATTTTATTTGAGGATACCGCCACAGACAAATTATAGTGGAATCTGACAACATATGAATTTCAGGCAACGTTACAGCAGTATCTAATTTGTTACTTCATGAATCCCTTAGCAACTATATTATTACATTTCTGGAATGTTACAATCACAGTTGTTGTTGATTTTAAAAAAAAAATAGCTTACATGACATGTTGGATTTGAAGCAAAAACAGTAATGCCACAAAAAATATGTTTTTAACATTTTCTGTGAGCCAATTCTTGTGACACTTCCCATACTTATGTAAAAAATGAACACAGAATTAAAAAAACACACACACACACACAACTGTTGCTGAGATTTTTCAAAAATGCTGCAAAAGGTCTTTGAGGACAGCTGTAAGAGTTTTATGCAGATGTGGTAATATTATGTATCTGTTAGTTAGTTAGTTAGTTAGTTGGGTTATCATCATTGCACTCCGGACATGTCCATAGGTGCTCAGATCCTCCCCTCAGTATGAACCCCAACGTCCGATGGCTAATAGTACCAGTTCTATGTTGATTAACAAGTATTATGTATCTGTGTTTGAGGACAACTGTTAGAATTTGTGTGCAGACATGTAAATATCATGTATCTGTGTTTCAAATGGGAAAGACTGCCACAGCAGGCGATCACAAATTCAGACAGCTTTCCATGTTCTTAGATGTTGCTCATGTTGAGAATGAGTGGGATACAGCATATTTTCTCACCATTCATTAAGTGTCTGAGCAAGTAGGAATCTTCAAAATCTCACCATAAGATTTGAAAAGAATGTTGAATAGGTATTTTAGTAGGTGTATAATTTCGAGTTTTTTTCCCCCCTTAAAGATTCTCTTTCATCAAAGAACTCTGTGCATTCCTCCTCCTCCCCCCCCCCCCCAATCTCTGCTGTCACTACAACAGCTTCAGTTTAAATCCTAGTTCATGGCGAAGTTTATCCAACCATACACACTTCTATTGCTCCATCAATTGTAAGGCAGATGCCAGAGATTTCTCTGTCAAAGAAAGTTGTAGAAGTGAGCTGATGACATGACTCCATGATGATGTTTCTTTTATTTCAAGCCTAACTGCTTCACACTTCACATGCATACAATATTATAGATTCTACACAGCACTTTAACATTTATTTTTTCACTGCCATCACCAGCATGTTGTTTGTGTTGAGTTAGTTTATTTCATTTTTCAGATTCACAATGAATGAAGATGAAATTCCACCTGCACGGTTTACTGGCCGCACTTACAGCCGGTTACGAAACAGTTCATCAAACCGCAATGTCGATGATGCAGCTGATGCCAGAACTGTACAAGTTAAAGCAGCCATGTCTCTTTCAAAATGGGGAAAAGCCAACTATATCCCCGTTCGTGATTCAGATGGCGCTACTGAACCCAAAAAGATGAAGCTGGAAAGCAAAGGGGAAGATCCTTTCAGTTTCGAAACTGAGGACAAGAGAAAGTCGGGTTCTGCTGTGAAACAGGATGTGACACAGCAGGAACAGGATCCTCACCAGATGACAAAACTTCCTGCCTCTAGAATATCAGTCAAAGGTGAAGGATGTGAAGAATATTTGCAAGAGGAAAAGGAAGAGGAAGTCAGTTCACCAGCATTCCGCACCTATTCCAGATCAGCATCAAAGAAACCAATAATCATGGACCAGTTTGTGGAAGTTGGCAAACAGATGCCATCTGGGCAAACTGTGTTCTTCTCTGAAGCAAGACTTGAGGCATCTACTGATACACAGAAGAGGGGTGAAGATGAGGAGGATGATGAAGACGATGATTTTTTCCCTGTTCAGTTCAAGAGGGATCCTCTGAAGACTTACTCCGGAGAAGTTGTTACCCCAGTGGATAAACCTGATTCCCCACCACAGAGGAAGTCTGGATATAAAAGAAAGGGAGGGCCGAGAGGTCGAAAACCTTTGACTGTGTCCGATCCTGAGTTAATTGAGCAATACAAAAGAAATTACGCTGCCCAGCAGTTGAAAGAGAAACCAGATGCTGCAACAAAAGGCATGAACAATAGTACAGTCGTGTTCAAGAAAGAACTGGCTAATGAAGCTCAGGGGACCACCGTTGTTGTTGTTTGTAAACCTAAAGCTCAGGTAGACGTGCATGCAAAATATATTTCCCGAAATTCTAAGCAGAAAGGACCACTGGTTCCTGTGGCGTCAGATGCAACCGGCTCACAAGCTACACCAGGTGAGAATGGAAATGCAGAATCCACATCCCAGACATCAGCCAATACAGAGACAGTGTCCACGCGGACAAGTGCTCGTCTTCGGAATGTTTCAGCTTTGGCAGCTAATTCAGAGGGGACCATACCATCTTCTGATGGCAGTGCTGGCACTCCTTCATCAGTCAATCCATCTTCTACAAAACGTGCCACCAGAGGCAGACATTCTAACACTTCTTTGGCAGATCCTGGCACATCATCATCTCCAGCTGCAGCGTCATCAGAAGGTACCCCAGCAGGTGATACCTCATCAGGGCGTGGTGGTAAACGCTATAGAATTTTTAAATCTCGGACTCCTCAGATGGAAGAAGAGCTTAAGCCACCAATTTACAAAGATGATCTTGAGTTGACCCAGGCACCTGCATCTTCTAGTGAAGAGACAGAAGCTAACAGTGATAACCAAGTTTCTTTACTTGATAATGATCAGACGGTTATTGAGCAGTTGGATGTGACTGTGGAGGCTGTTGCAGAATCTTTAGCTGAGACAGCAGAGATAGAGGTATCAAAAACATTGGAACTTTCTGAGCTATCAAGTAATGCAGAGCTTGAAGAAGATGGTAGTAACATAAAAAACAATGAACCAGCTGCAGCTAGAGATCAGTTAGCAGCACGACTGCGGACTGTAGAAAAGGGGAATGAGACAGATTCCACTGGTGAGCCAGATAACGCCTCAGAATGCTCTGAACATCTCACATCTCAGGACTCTCTTTCCAACAGTCAGGGTGTCTCAGAAGACAGCAGTCAGAAGGAGGGTCTTATGATGGCTCCTCGAAAATTTTTCAAGTCAAAGAAATCCTTGTCTGGATCGTCAGATTTGCAGCGGAAAATCTTTGGCAACAGCCCTCAAAAGGTTAGTTTTATTACCTTCAATATATATATTACAAGTTATTTCTTCTTTGTTCGCCCTATATTTGTTGTTTTCAGTGCGGTTGCATCGTGCCTGGTAATAGCAGGGCTGACATATTTGACTTCTGACATTTTGTATATTTTTTTTAAAAGAACATTTGGTTTTATAATCCTAACAGCTTTAACAGCCGGAAACTTTGATTCCCTGCATAGATGGGCATCTTACTTCTTCAGCATGTTAGACCTCTCTCTTTGACCTCGGCACCTTCCACATTATACCCCAGGCACTTTTTGCTGCATTTATGGGAAGCATGGACCGGCCTGGGTTTCTTAAATGGTCATTATCATTACGCTGACGAGTGTGTCAGTTGTTAGTGGATATTTGAACCTTTAAAGAAGAATCTTTGAGCGAGGGTGTCTGAACCTATGCTGTCAAACAGCAGGATACTCGACGGTTGGACATCTAAACCTAAACAGCCATACAGTAGGAGTCTCGGTCGACAGATGTTTGAAACATTGTTTCTCATATAATTGGACTTTTGGACCACAGGTATTTGAATCCGCCGAGTATGTCATTTAGTAGTGTACTCGCCCAGCGGACATCATTCATGTTCCGTTTGAGTTTTTCATCTACATTATCACCTATGTAGATGAGGTGAGCTGATGAGGGATAGGATTTCTGGGCACTGCATCTCTGGAGGTCATCAGTTCTTAGATCCCCTGTCAACCCGATTGTGGTCGATATAGACCATTGTCCATGGTGCCCATCAAGGATGTGTGGCAGAGTCTTACAAGCGGTTCCGTAAAACCAGCACAAGAGTTGGCTGGCACCCGAGGTGGTGTACAAAGTTTCTCATTATCTGCATCATAATCACCTTAACTGTACCTCACGCCTGTGACTGAAATCCCCACGCCATAATTCTATATCATTTCCGACCGAACTTTTTTCAAAAAAGAATCAATCCAGAGGACAGAATCCAGAACATTAACTGGTGCAATGGATAAAGTTGCTTCCACATGTGGTCCACAGACTGTCTTCTATTAATGACCAACTGTAAGAGCTGAGCCTGGTAGCCCATTTTAACTGTGTCATCCTGAGAAGGTGGGTCTTCTGACTTGTGTGGGTTTCTGAGGAGATAGCGTTTTGGGCATTGGTTGGTGTGTCTGCATAACAGTTTCAGAACTTTCTGCACTGACTTAGTGTGTAAACATGATGGTTCAGATTACATTTACAATTGGGGGGGGGGGGGGAAATTGTCATTTAGGTCTAAAAATTTAAATATTTTAGGGTCATTGTAATGTCATAATAAACTTATGATATCACTTTGCTCTGTATAGCTGTGTCAGCCCCTGTTTTCTGGTCAAAGGGTGTTAAAGCTGTTATTTCTTTGCTCAGTTTGCATTTGATTACTTCCCTTCATCTAAAAATAAATAAAAAATATTTGCTCAAAATAATGGCTTAAATATGAAAAATCCATCTTTTTAGTGACTTTGGTGCGGTGATGACATAGTACAGGGCTATTCAACTGGCTTTCCATAGGCCCAATCTGGCCCACTGAGTTCTAGCAAGTGTCCCACTGATCATTGCTGGCTGTATTGTATTAATGACCTTTTTACGCTGGGGCTTTGGCCCGTGATGATCTTCAGTTTCAAGTCTCGTCTTTGAGTAAACTTTGTTGAATAACCTTGACATATTAGCTAGCAAGCTTGCCTGTCTACTTGGTGATCATAAGTTTCAACCCTTAGGATTTTTATAAAAACTGACCAACTCCGAATTACTTCTGCTGCTTCTCATACTCTAATCTCATATGGTAGAATTTAAGTGAATTATAACGATGGATTTCTTTTGAACCACATTTTTAAAAAGATCACTTTGTCAGATGTTTACATGGTGAATGAGTTAACTGCAGCAAAGCATGCACATACACAACTGGTTAAGACCAACTGGTCAAGAGAGTAAATTACTATTGATACATCATAGTCCAAGTGGTCAACACACAACTGACAGCGGTGGTCAACATACAACTGACAGCGGTGGTCAACATACAACTCACAGAGGCGGTCAACATATAACTCGCAGAGGCGGTCAACATACAACTCACAGTGGCGGTCAACATGCAACTCACAGAGGCGGTCAACATACAACTCACAGAGGCGGTCAACATACAACTCACAGTGGCGGTCAACATACAACTCACAGAGGCGGTCAACATACAACTCACAGAGGCGGTCAACATACAACTCACAGAGGCGGTCAACATACAACTCACAGAGGCGGTCAACATACAACTCACAGAGGCGGTCAACATACAACTCACAGAGGCGGTCAACATACAACTCACAGAGGCGGTCAACATACAACTCACAGAGGCGGTCAACATTTAAAGGCAGTCTTCCATTGAGATTATGTGGGGACCATCCAATTATTTATCAGCTTAGGATGATAGTCAACAGAGAGGTGATCGACTTTTGAGCTTTACAATAACTGATTCTTGAACCAGCTAAACTAAAGTGAACTTGATACACTGCTAGCATGATGAAGGGCCAGGTTTAAAACATTGATCAATAATTAAATACTGCCTGTATTTTACTGGAACCCAGAGGGAAAGAAACAATAGTATCTCTGTAATTTGCCATGCCTGTCTTAAGAGGCAACAAAGGAGGGTTGGTGTTAGACTTGCTACATCATCCTGTATAAAAGCTTAACAAAATCCAACCAGTTCTTTGACTGGGCTACACTGGGGCTTGGTCTGAGTTGACTGATAGCCTGTGCTGCAGTGAAAGTTGACAGTCAGAAAAGGAAGCATTTATAACTACATGACTTGTGTTGAAGAGACATGACTGACTAAGTCATTTAGCAAGAGAATTCGAGAAGTAGAAGAGAAGTTCCCTTTTTACATCAGTGGTGCATTGGGCAGATGATGCTAGGGTCTTATTTTTGTTGACCGCCTTTACTTCCCAAGACATCAGCTGGTACTCATTTTAGTCTAGGTTGACCCGTGAACCAAGGTCAATTTTGAAAAAGAAAATGGCCCAGTGCAGGTTTGAACCCAGTGCCTTCTGGTTGGCTGGTGAGCATCTAGCTACTACGCTAGTAGATGAAAATCTTAGTTAATGGAACTGAGTTTGTCTGACATGACTGATGTGCGGGCATGTTTTCTAGTCCCCAGCTAAAGCCACGTACAATGCTCGGTCCTGGTACAACCAGCATGAACCTGATGGCGATCAGGAGGTGAGCATGTTTGCCTTATTTCTCTCACTCCATAATCTGTGTGTCTCCTCTATCACAGTGACTTCTCTATCGCTATGTCTCATTCATTTTTTTTTCTGTATATCTTTGTCAGTCTCTCTTATTTCTGTCTGCAACTTGATGTCTGTCTCCCTGATCTCTCTCTGTCTCCTTCATGTGTGTCTGTATGCTTCATCTTCCTGCCTCCTGTATCAGTCTGTTTCTTTCATTTGTTCTGTTCATCTGATTTTCTGTGTCATTTCTGCTTCATGTATCTTGTTGTTTTTCTCTGTCTCAGTTATTCTCTGTCTTCATTCTGTAGCCTATTCTTTGTAATTCTTATTCATTCCTTGCTACTCTCTGCTGTTTCACTCACATTCTTTCCCCCCCCCCCCCCCCCCCTGTAATTTCTCTTTTTCCTTCCTTAATTTTTTCATACTTTCTCTTTTTGTATTCATATGCTCTCTTCCACCATAACCTCAGAAAAAGGGGGGGGGGGGGGGGGGAATGTAAGGATCATTTGTGTGCTTTTTCGAATGTATTGTACAAGTTGATGTTCATTTCTGTAAGGTTGCTCCTGATGATGTGGCTCCATATCTTGCATGGTCTTCCCCTTGCTCTTTGTTTATTTTATTTCTTTAACATGGCAGTTGGTGCTAGGGCATTCTCGTCAGGTAGCCAGACCATTTAATTTATTGTTTTTTTTAATGAATTATATGATTAGTTTTAGTCCTAGTCTTCTTCTAATTTCTTCATTCCTGATTTTATCTCTTGTCCCACCGGCAGCTCTCCTAAGACATCTCCTCTCTGTTGTTACGATCTTCTGCTCATTATTAAAAAAAAATTTTTTTAATATTACCTTTTGTTAAACCACGTGAAGGTTGCAACTGGTACTGTTAGCATCTCAACTCCTCATTGGTTACTGAAGGAGCGGATGGAGCAGGCATTGGAATCTTCAGAGTACAGTGATGTCAATTCTCAGTTCATTCAGACGGCACTTAGTGAAAATCATTTATTTCATAAAAGAATTGTAATAATTTCAACATAAAATCTTCATGGCCTTTCTACACTTCTTTAATACATATCCAATCTGTGTCCACCTTCCTACCTGCCAAGTGCCGAAACACTTGAACACACTGGCTTACTTCTTTGTTTTATTATAATGATTTATTGTAGAGGACATTTATGTTTCTATAATTATTGGAATTTTTGTTTTTTACGGTTTTAACTAGCCAGTGTATTGAAGATATCCTTATATGTCAGTGAAGTAGAGGAAAAGTAGCAGAGATTGTTTACAAAGAACCAGTGAAATTATATTTAGCAGTCCCTTTCTTCTGCTTATTTGTTTCTAAATGTAATTATTTCTTGATTTCTAAATGTAATTGTTTCCTGTTCCTCCTTTGATCATCTTGATGAGCAAGGCCCTGAGCCAACTTGACCAAACCTTTCTGCATGTTGGTGTGATGATGGCCATGTGATGATGTCTAGTTATCGCGCGAAGGTTGAGTGATTGAAAGACGTTTGGCTGCAAATGAAATAAAGCTATTTCATTTTGAAATAATGAAAACGAATTAATGAATACATGTTGTAGTAATTGGTCTCTCTCTTCAGGTGGCTTCACAAAAAACTGCAATGAAAGAAAATGATGATGGTATAGTTCTTCTGAAAGATTCTGGAAAAGGGCCGAAATTAAAACGAGAAGTGCACTGGCCAACTAGACAGTATGATGAAGCGTACACATCACTAAAAGTCAACAAATATCACAAGGAGGTACTTTTATTGTATGCTATGCATTTAGCAGTAAAAAAAATTACCTGCTGGTGTTGTGTTCTATCAAATGTGTTTGAGTTTCAGAATTTTAAGAAACTTATTCGACCCCAAAAAAAGTCTAAAGAATCAAATTCATTGCAGTGGGTTTTATTCCATGTGGCCCAGTCTCTCTCCTCAGAATGGCTAGCTAATGGCAGAAAGCATGAACTCTGTAGCTCCGGTGACAATCCCTAGGGATCTGTGTGAAAATTGCACTTGTTAACAGAACAGCACAACTGTGAAATGAACCCACAATCTTTAGAGCATGAGGCAAAAGGCTCGACCATGTCCCCATGGAGACCACCTTGTTCAGCCCATTAACCCAGTTTTTTTCTTGTCCTATCTGATTTTTTGGTTCCCTGAAATTTTACATCTTCTTTTACGTATCTGCATTTTTAGGTTGTTGCCCTGAACTATGACATCTCTTTTTTTAAATATCTAAAGTAAAGGTAAAGTCGGGAGATGTGAACCGGCGTCATTGCACACGATTATAAACCATAAGTGCTCTGCCACCCCTACGGGCAGCTGATAAGAATTGTCCGCCTGTATCACTCTGCGCACATAACTCTGTAGCTACAGCGACATTCCTTCATTTACCCCAGAGTGAATTTTTCAATGGCTTATTCATTGTTCAGGTTCTGGGCCATATAGTAGTATTGAATATACAGAATATTTATACTAATTTTAATGTGTTCTTTATATCCTTCTAATCGTAAGTAGTGTTGAAAATTTATTGGCCATTCCTGTTCTGATGTTGATAACTGTATGTTCTTTGTTTTTACATAAGTCTTGTCCTGCAGATAACTCTGGCCATGTCTGGCGATACAGTATCATTCCATTGTTTGTATATTGTTTGTAGTGCTTTTTATCATTTGTAAAATATTATCCAGGCTGCACCATAGTTGGCTCACACTGTTTAGCTTTTGTTTGCCCAGGGAATGCATGACAAGCTAGAAATTGTACGAGTCCCTTGAAAATGAATGAACAGTGCAGGGGCACAAATAGATCATCGGTGCAGTGGCACAAATAGGTCATCAGTGCAGTGGCACAAATAGGTCATCAGTGCAAGGGCACAAAAAGGTCATCAGTGCAGAGGCACAAATAGGTCAGTGGTGGAGGGGCACAAATAGGTCATCGGTGCAGGGGCACAAATGGGTCAGTGGTGCCGGGGCACAAATAGGTCATCGGTGCAGGGGCACAAATAGGTCATCAGTGCAGGGGCACAAATAGGTCATCAGTACAACTGCACAAATAGGTCATCAGTACAACTGCACAAATAGGTTATCAGTACAACTGCACAAATAGGTTATCAGTACAACTGCACAAATAGGTTCTCAGTGCAACTGCACAAATAGGTCATCAGTACAACTGCACAAATAGGTCATCAGTACAACTGCACAAATAGGTCATCAGTACAACTGCACAAATAGGTCATCAGTACCACTGCACAAATAGGTTATCAGTACCACTGCACAAATAGGTTATCAGTACAACTGCACAAATAGGTTATCAGTACAACTGCACAAATAGGTCATCAGTACAACTGCACAAATAGGTCATCAGTACAACTGCACAAATAGGTCATCAGTACAACTGCACAAATAGGTCATCAGTACAACTGCACAAATAGGTCATCAGTACAACTGCACAAATAGGTCATCAGTACAACTGCACAAATAGGTCATCAGTACAACTGCACAAATAGGTTATCAGTACAACTGCACAAATAGGTCATCAGTACAACTGCACAAATGGGTTATCAGTACAACTGCACAAATGGGTCATCAGTACAACTGCACAAATGGGTTATCAGTACAACTGCACAAATGGGTCATCAGTACAACTGCACAAATAGGTTATCAGTACAACTGCACAAATAGGTTATCAGTACAACTGCACAAATAGGTTATCAGCGTGTGAAGTGAGGAGTGACCTGGGAATGTGATTAATGCTTAACATTCAAGAAAATTGTGTGATGGACATAATTCAAACTATTTCTGGAACCGCTGGACATGGAACTCTGTGCTTGCTGCTGAAGATGGGGACAGGATGCTTATAGGGATATTCCAACTGCTAGGTGTCAGGTTTTAACTGACTAACTTATTCCCAAGATTTTTAACATGCAGGATGCGATAGCTAATCTAATGCCAACCCTCTTTTTGGCCTCTTATTACATGCTTGGTATGTTGTTCTTTGACCAGTTTTTCTTGCCCTATGGGCTGGGATTAGAAGAATAGTTATATGGACTAACCTTTATATATATATATATATATATATATATATATATATATATATATATATATATATATATATATATATATATATATATATATATATATATATATATATATATATATATATATATATATATATATATAATTAAAGAGAAACTGGGACATTGTACAAAAGGAAAGTAGTGGGTGTAATGCTGATAGAGATGTGAATTGCTTGTTAGAATAAGTACTTTTTTTAGTTGAAATGTTGGGCACATTCTCAGTTGATGGGGAAAGTGAATTACAAAATAGGTTCTGAAGTGGGAAACATTTGCCTTGAGGAAATGAGGACATCTAATAGAAACCCTGCAGTGAACATTGAAGAGAGAAGCCGGGGTGCTGGAGTGAGTTCTCGACACAAAGTGGAAAGGATAGCACAGGATATATACAGGATGGAGGAATCAGCTGCAGGCTCTGCATTATGAACAGTCAGCACAGCAGATGTGGAGCTCTGGTAACACACAAGTGATGTCTTGCAGGTAATTAAAAACAAGAGAGTACAAGGAAATGAGCAAGCTGATACGCTTGCAGGTAAGGCTACTTACTATGAAAGCCAGACAAGCCACGGACCAGGCTGATATACTGAATGCTCTAAGAGAGTTAAGACGTTTGTGTGAACCAACTGAGAACTGAATCTGCAACCATGGTCAGACTGCAAGAACAACATGTTAAACGGGGTGTCGCAAAACAAGAACACTTCGCGGGTTGTCAAAGAAGAATAATAAACCAACACAGAACTGGGGTCGTTAGCTGCTACACGCTGCAGAGTTTACTAATTAGGGGATCCAAGCACTTATGGACCGAATGGTTCAACGTGCAATGAGGATAATCTGTTGACTAACTTAGTAAAGGTAATTTAAACATTCTTTTGTAAAAACCTTATCAGTGTTGTATGGAGAATTTCTTACCTGTTTATCACATGTCTATAATTAGCAGCCATGTGTTAAAAACAGAAGTTAGCTCTAATTAATTTTGTGTGTCTCCTGATAAAATATTGTCTAAACGGATATTGTTTTTTTTTTTCCAGCTGTATACTGTAGTTCATAATGTCAAGCAAACACACGAAGTTCAGGAGTTGGGAGAGACTCAAGATTTTATGGATGAGGTTGACTATCTGCTAGATAGCTTACAGGATACAAACCCCACCCCTATACGCTGCCTTAGGTCTGTCACCTTCCTACAAACATTTGTGTGGTTGTGTTATAGAATGCTAACAGTTTGTGATAGATGACATGAGGTTAGATGAAATAACATGTATGAATGTGTGAACTGGAAATTAGGTACAGATGAGGCAGGGAAGGATGTATAAGAGGAAGAGAATGACAAATTTGTGATCAGTGTGCTACTGGAACAGTTAGCACCTACACCTGAAGACATTTGCAGTGGGAGACGGAGCACATCCGGCGTGTTATGATGTTGATTCTTACATCAGTAACAGTTTGTGTCGATGACATGGTATCATACCTGTTGTGCTAAATGGGAGTTCCTCTTCGCATTCACCAGCTGTAAACTCTGATCAAAAAGTTGTGGTTGCTTGTCCAATTCTGGACTTTGGTCTTTTTCAAGAACTTAATTTTGCATACACATCCATTTTACAAGTATAGTCTATTTATGTGCAGACTGTTGGTTCCTTGCATATTAGGCAGATGCACCTTGACGGAAACACCCCTAACTGTAAATTTGTATGACATGAAAGTAGAGATGTATAGGAATGAAACATTAACAAGCAAATTGGGAAGAGCTTGTGGTAGCAAAAATGTGGTTTCTGAGTCAAATGTTTTAAACAGCAAGAGCAACCAGCAAGGATATTGCCGGGACCCGGCTCATGAAAGGATGTTGTATGCTTTTCCTTCTCATCTTCCAGTTACTTTAGTGAAGTGGGTGAGGGCATGTCTGCGCTTTTTCAGATGTATAAGATTGACTTTGTGTCTCCACTCAATGGACATCTAAACAGAATACAGCCACAACACTCCCCAGAGTGCCAGCCATGTAACTACCCCTATGAAACTGTTGAACACTATCTCTTTGAGTGCCCAAAACTCAGCGAGACTAGAAGAATACTACTCCCTCTGAGACCAGACAAGTGGAACAACATGTACGGAGGAAATGAATAGCTTGTGAAAACATGCAAATTCCACTACATGGCATTGGGCCAAAGGGCGAAAGCTCAGGCACCGCTGGATCGATAACAACAACGGACTTTGTGTGCAGCTGTAATGGGGCTAACCTCACCAAGGATTTAAACCCAGGTCTCCCTCTTAAGAGGCCAGCGTTCTAACCGTTAAGCCAGCTCCTCAGTTAAATAGCACTTATTTAAAAGAAAAACTAAAAGGTAAAAAGGTAAAGTCAGTGAATCAGCATCAGTACAGACGGTTATAAACCATAAGTGCTCTGCCACCAGTACGGACAGCTGATAAGAAACTGTCTGCCTGTGTCGCTGTCCTCACGTAACTTCGTAGCTACAGCGACGTTCCTCCATTTACCCCAGAGTGTTAACTCTGGTACCCATTTCCTAGAGGCTGGATGAACCCTGGGGACCGCCCAGTTTTGAACACCGACCGTGGGCTGCAGCAAGTCACAGTTGGATTTGAAAGTGAGTCTCCTATCGACTACGCTAACGTGGCCCCTTGAAAGATAAAAACTGTAAGTTAATACTGACAAGTCATATCATGAGAGACATTAATGCCTATGCAGTTTGCACATGATGCTGATTTTACCAAGCATCTGGTCTAGTACACATAATCACATGAAACACACCTCTCAGCCACAACACACACGCATACCACAACACACCAAACTAAGAGGAAATGTTTTATTAATATGAATATTTTTTTAATGAACAGTGTGGGTGTCAAATAAAGCGTCCATTTTGATTTTTTTCAGTTGCCTAAAACTTGCTGGCAAGTGCATCTCGCCTGCCTTCCGTATGCATATTCGTGCCCATGGAACAGTCACAAAGATCTTCAGCCTGCTGCATGATGCCTGCTCTGATCCAGTAAGTGAATGTTCTAGAATTGTTCCATGTAGACAGAATTTCTACTCACATAAACATACTGCAGATGCAGATTTACGTTTTCCATCTGTGTTTATTACTGCGGTCAAACAGGACTTTAAAATGACGCCTCATATATATATATATATATATATATATATATATATATATATATATATATATATATATATATATATATATATATTTATATATATATATATATATATATATATATATATATATATATATATATATATATATATATATATATATATATATATATATATTATTTATATATATATATATATATATATATATATATATATATATATATAATATATATATATATATATATATATATATATATATATATATATATATATATATATATATATATATATATATATATATATATATATATATATATATATATATATATATATATATATATATATATATATGTATATGTATATATATATATATATATATATATGTATGTATGTATGTATATATATCAGGTGTTTCACCTAGTATTTCGTTCACTAATTTGAACACTTATAGAGATATGACAACGGAATTTGTATTGGGCTTACCTCCTTTCATGTAGAGTCAGGTGACATTGCAACAGGTGTTGAAAAAAAGCCACCATTGGCATCCAGGCAGTATTAAACACAGTGTTCCATGTTGCCTTCTCTACACGTCATGTAAATGGGCATGGCTCATAGTCACTGTTTTGCTGCCTAGATACCAATGCTGGCTATTTCCCACACCTGTTATGATGTCACCCGACTTCACCTGAATGAAGGTTTGTCCATTCCAAATTTCTTTTGCCATATTTTTTTTTATTGGTGTCTGAGTTGTGAATAAAATAAAGGGTTCTGCCTCGAGTGAAACACCCTCTATATATATATAGGGTGTTCATAAAGTCTCAGAACAAATTTGAAAAAATGAAAACCATGTACATGACATCATTAGAACATGCCTTAACAGTAATTTAATTAGTTACAATTATCACCACCATAGTCTAACACGGTTTTTGGGAAATCTGGAAAGTACCACTGAAATTTCATTTTATCCGGTCTTGGAAATGTCCACCACAGGATTGAAAACATGATTGTACACTTTTCTTCATAATGTCAGATGCCTTCTCCAACACATCTGATGTTATTTCTTGAATTGTAATTTTTGATTGCTTCCTTTAACACTATTCTGTTTTCTGAGTGCTAAAAATTACTGCAGCATACGACAGCCATACACTGCACATTGCTTCGTAACTGACTGTGGAGCAGTTTTTGATAATGTCAGAACTGTTTTTCACATTTGTTCTATATACAAAGTGTAGTGACACTTTACAAACACCCTGTGTAATGGTAATTCTTTCTTATAGTTTATCTTATGTGGATAAACTTTTAAGCTCTGTTTCAAAAAATTTTTTTAATGTTTTTATTATTTTTATGAACTTATTCTTGATTTCTCTGCTAGTGTTTGGCACTAAGTACGTCGGCCATGATGTTCATGCTTAGTCGAGATCGTCTGAACATGGACCTTGATCAGGACAGCCTTAATCTGATGCTGAGACTGAATGAGGTCGATGCTGCCGATCGTGGTTCACTGGACGCTTCCGCCCTGAAGGAGCTGGAGAAGGTCAAGCAGAAGGTCATGGAATTACTGGCCCAGTTGCAGCAGGAAACACATGCCAGAGAAATTGACCTGGGCTTTGTTTCTGTAAGTTTGGTTTGGGGTTTGTCACAGTAATTGAGAAAGACATAAGTCAAAGGTTTTTCTTGGCAAGTTTTGTTTGCCAGTTGTTTAGAGTTAAGTCAAACTTTCTCTTAAACTGTCCATCTTCCTCAGCATGTGGAAAGGTCTAATTTTGATGCTCGAGTGTTGTGTGTCCATCACATCCCCTGGTCACTTCATACTGCACCATTCTCTCCAGACTATGATGATCTATTTGTGCTTCTGGACTGTTCATTTGCTGCCTAAGGGCCTTGACCACATCTAGTGCGTTATGCATCAATTTACCATAAAGGAACGCAGAATCAGCCAGTCAATATGCCTGTTCATTTCCCAACATGCCTGAATACCTTGGAGAAGATATCCATATATGCTAATTACCCAGGAACTCTGAGGCTATTTGGGTTTGTTTAAGTAAGTGAGCAAAGCAAGTTTGGTATTCAGGAAAACATGGAAGGTGTTTGTCTTCACACTTTTGGTTTAGGATTTGCCTGAGTAACCAAGGAATAAATATACATGGTGTGGAGTTTGCCTGCGCAAATTTTGTTTAATATTGTTCTTTTTGGCTTTTTTTACAGTGTTGAATGTTGAATTAAGAATCAATATCACAGCACTCGGGACACTCCCATATGCGCTCCGTCCCCATCTTCAGCAGCAAGCGAAGAGTTAAAAATCTGATGGGTACCAGTAACAGTCTGATTGTATATTTGTTTCGCCCCTCCGCCGAGTGTCGGCCAGATTCCCTTGTAACTCCTCGCAGCGCCATTCTCCTCAGACCGTAATGATCTATCTGTTCCTCGGCACCGTTCCCTCGCTCCCAAAGGGCCCTCACAACATCCAACCTTTCATATATCAGTTTACCACCAAATGGTGCAGAACCGGTCAGTCTATCCGCCTGCTCATTTCCCAACACACCTGCGTAACCTGGAGAAAATATTCAAAGGATGCTAACTGCCCGGGATCTCTGAAGTGATGCTGGCTAATCTGCACAGAGCATGCCTGCCTCCACCTTTCTCAGCATGCTCTGTGAGTCAGTTACAATAACGACATGTGTGTACAGCTGATTCTCAAGCCAACGGAAGGCAGCAGTGACTGCCTCCACCTCCATTCTCAAACTAGACATTGTGATATCATATGCTAGGCTTTGTTGCGCCAAGTGACGTCCATTCGCCTTTGCTGTGAACCCCCATGTACTTCGTCTGCCACTCACCACAGAGCCATCTGTATATACAATCACATCACTTGGGCGGGAATTGTCATGAATCATGTGTTGAACTTCTGATTCTGCAGCACCAGCTGTCCAGTCCCTGTACTCACGCCCCAAAGTGATTATAACCCTACACGTCTGAAACATGATCGGACACTTTGACCCACTCCTCTCCTCACCTAAATTTATCAAGCCTGCACACATGTCGAATTGTGTCTTCAGCTTGCGCCATCCAAGACTTTCCTCTTTTCAGTCTGTGACCCTTAGCTCTATCCAGAGCTTCATGCACGAGGTGCCTCTTGTCCGCAGCTACTCTGAGATATGACTTTGCTTGCAGAACTTTTAGTCTATCCACAATAAGAGGCAGTGCAAGTATATATTGCATACATACTACCGGGGTATCTCTTGTACATCCCAGAATCACCCGCATGGCTTTATTCTGTATGCGTTCAAGTTTTATCAGCTGACTCTTTGATTTACGGTTTGTCTCTTAAAAAGGCAGTTGGTATGTTGTGTTATGCTTTACTACCAGGCTTTGATAATGGCACCTGTCGGCAGGTTCAATACATCAGATTTTAGCTAATCTCTAATTTTTCACCCTTTACCACATGCTTGTTAAGTAGCAGTGCGCCCTCCCCTCCCCCCCCCCCCCCCCCCCCTCCCCCCCCCCCCCCCATCCCTTTTCCATTACCTCACAGTGTGTCTTAGGTTAGTGGACATTTACATGCTTCATCGGAGTCCAGAAAGGGAACCTCAGAGATGAGAAGTTACTTATCTCAGCTATGAAATGTAGTAAGAAAGGTATCATTTCCACATGAAGTATATTTTGTGTGAAGATCAATCAGCACTTGGTCGGTGATATGATGAATATCCTACAGCTACTGTTACTTTCCAGATTTATGAACAGGTTGAATTAAGAATCGACATCACAGCACTTGGGATACCTCCATAAGCGCTTTGTCCCCATCTTCAGCAGCAGACAAAAAGTTAAAATCCTGATGGTATCAGTAACTGTCTGATTGTATATCCGTTTCGCCTTTCCCCAGAGTGTCGAGAGTCGGCCAGATCCCCTTGTAACTCCTCACAGTGCCATTCTCCTCAGACTGTAATGATCTATCTGTTCCTCAGCACTGTTCACTAGCTCCCAAAGGGCCGTCACAACATCCAGCTTATCACAGTCAGTTCACCACCAAGTGGTGCAGAACTGGTCAGTCTATCTGCTTGGTGAACAGGTTCATTGTCATTGCCTGCTGCAGTTTTTAGTTGAAGTGGAAATAACACAGAACTTTGCTTTTTTTATACAGACTGGTAACCTCGCCATGGAGTCCTTGTTGAGCTTGACATCAAGACGTGCTGGCGAGTGGTTCAAGGAAGAACTGCGGTCTGCTGGTGGCCTTGACTATATTGTTGATTCTGGTAAGTCTCTTGTTGGATGTTACAATACCCAGCAATTTCTGTTGATATTTTATGTCAGGTCTGTAACACAAGCTGGCAGTGTGTGAAGTTCACTTGGTCACGCAGCAAAGTGCTGCTATGTTCATTCATCTTTTATTTTAGTCCCTGCCAAGTGACATTGGTCATCAGCGCTTTCTGTATTGTGTACTCCGAATTATTTCTAATACTGCATTTTGCACCATGATGCACAACTGTTGAACATTTTTCTTGGCCTCCTTCATTCTTTTCTTCTTCAATATTCCTGTTCTGATGTGCGTTTTTTCCTTCTTATGTGCACTCTTTCCTTCTTATGTGCACTCTTTCCATCTTATGTGCACTCTTTCCTTCTCATGTGCACTCTTTCCTTCTCATATGCACTCTTTCCTTCTCATATACACTCTTTCCTTCTCATGTGCACTCTTTCCATCTTATGTGCGCTCTTTCCTTCTCATGTGCACTTTTTCCTTTTCATGTGCACTCTTTCCTTTTCTTGTGCACTCTTTCCTTCTCATGTGCATTCTTGCCTTCTCAGGACTTGCTTAAAGAATGTTATATGTCAATGGACATAGATAAATAATTCTCTTCATGCGTTAATTTCTTTCAAGACATCAATAAATATTTTATCTTTCCATACAATTCTTGCCATTCTTCTAAAAACCACATTTTTTGGGCCTCCACATAATTTCTCATGAATCTGTTGTCTATAGTGGATTTCTGCCAGGACTGTCTCAGTAAAGCTCTTAGAACTCTTTCACATGTGTTGTCGTCTATCAGTTCCAGTGAAAGAGGCTACATGTCTCTTGAGAAACACCATGTGTGTCTTGTCAGGTTCTGTCCTTTCTGAAAGTCCCAATGTCCAACAGTTTTTATGTAAATAAAAGAATTGGAGTTGTGTCCCTTGCATTTACCTTTCCACTCACCTTCCCTTCCCACTTCTGTGGGTCACTTTCTCCCCAGTAGCTGACTCCTCCCATGACACCTACCACATGTTTACAGAGCCCTGAGTGTTCCGGCAGGAGGGATATTCTGTCATATGTCTCTCTGGTATCTTACTTCTACAGTAACATGTTTACAGAGCCCTGAGTGTTCCGGCAGGAGGGGTATTCTGTCATATGCCTCTCTGTTATCTTACTTCTACAGTAACATGTTTACAGAGCCCTGAGTGTTCCGGCAGGAGGGGTATTCTGTCATATGCCTCTCTGTTATCTTACTTCTACAGTAACATGTTTACAGAGCCCCTGAGTGTTCCGGCAGGAGGGGAGACTCTGTCATATGCCTCTCTGGTATCTTACTTCTACAGTAACATGTTTACAGAGCCCTGAGTGTTCCGGCAGGAGGGGTATTCTGTCATATGCCTCTCTGTTATCTTACTTCTACAGTAACATGTTTACAGAGCCCTGAGTGTTCCGGCAGGAGGGGTATTCTGTCATATGCCTCTCTGTTATCTTACTTCTACAGTAACATGTTTACAGAGCCCTGAGTGTTCCGGCAGGAGGGATACTCTGTCATATGCCTCTCTGGTATCTTACTTCTACAGTAACATGTTTACAGAGCCCTGAGTGTTCTTGCAGGAGAGATACTCTGTGATATGCCTTTCTGTTATCTTACTTCTACAGTAACATGTTTACAGAGCCCTGAGTGTTCCGGCAGGAGGGATATTCTGTCATATGTCTCTCTGGTATCTTACTTCTACAGTAACATGTTTACAGAGCCCTGAGTGTTCCGGCAGGAGGGATATTCTGTCATATGCCTCTCTGGTATCTTACTTCTACAGTAACATGTTTACAGAGCCCTGAGTGTTCTTGCAGGAGAGATACTCTGTGATATGCCTTTCTGTTATCTTACTTCTACAGTAACACATGTTGTTCAGAGCCCGAGTGTTCTTGCAGGAGGGATACTCTGTGATATGCATCTCTGGTATCTTACTTCTGCAGTAACACATGTTTACAGAGCCTTTACAGTTCCGGCAGGAAAATTAAAGGATTTGAAGTATTCTGCTGAATAATTGTATCACCCCTCTCGTGGTATTTGCTGGCAAGGGTTTTCTAGCCACAGCGTTGATTTTGTCCTTTGTAATTATGAACTTCTTTTTGGGATTGACATTTGTTGTTGTTGATCTTTCACATTTGTTGTCTAATTTCTACCTTTTCCTCCTGTCTTTGACAATATCTGTAACACTGTTAGATCAGTTCCAAATGTTTTTCTTGCTGCTTCTGTTAATGTCTGCGTGTTGTGTGTACTGTCTCTCAGATGTGGTATGTGAGCTTATCATGCTTTAGCCATGGCCAAGCCATCCATCCTCTTGCAATTTTTAGTCAAGTTTGTTCTCATTAAGTTTTCAAATAATTTTGTTATGAATTTCACATCAATACATTTACGACTTATAAATAAATGTGCTTTTTATATGTGTACTGAATAGAATGAGAATCACAGTGGCAAGGTACAAGCAGCTACCAATACACAGTTGTCAGTTACAAAATAAAACAAACAAATTATGTAAGTGCTATCATGAACATATACTGCTGTGTGTATGTAAGAAATGAACAATAGACAAGCCAAGAAACATTTCATAGCAGAAATATGGCTTCTGAGGAAGAACTAGAAAATATACTTACCTTGCACAAAAAGGACAAAAACAAGATGACATTTTTGTAAGCCATCAGTTGACTAGAGAGTAGAAATGCAATGAGACAGAGATTTATTATGAAGAGAAATAAAATTAGAAATGTTAGGGATAGCGGTAGCAAACTTGATGGGGAAAAGATCAAAAAGAAGGCAAAGAGATAAATGGCTAGATACCCTGGGCAAATATAATCAGGACCAGAACACAGATATGATGAGACAGGACCAAGGTTGGGCTTGGGACCAGCTAGCCCACACTGAAAACAATTATGCTTTAGAAACACGTAGAATAAATACCTGATTGCATTTTTAAAAATAAGGTTCAATTTTTGAAGATAACTTGTTAAGTACACATGAGTTATCGTGCACATGGTTGCTGTTATTCACAGTGACAGTCTGTGAACACAGCCTGCCGGAGGATATCTCGCAAGACATCCACAAGTCTTTACCTGTTCTCAAGAAGCTGGATCGCTGTCTCAGGGTCTTGGAGAATGTAAGTCAGTTGCATCGTTTAGAATGTAGTAAGTAGATATTTCAAGAAAAACTTGCATATGAGTGCCTGTATGTGAGAATATGAAAGTGTTAAGGTATTATATGTCAACCACATATTTTTTCTGGCTTGTCACATTTAAGAACTTCCTGTTTATATAACTTCTTCTTTGTTTGTATTCAGGCCTCCAATGACTCCCATAAAAGGTTTTTTTGGGGGGGTGGGGGGGGGGAGCATTGGCATTCTCTTAGAGTATTTGTTGGAAGGAAGATGATTGGTGCCATGTTATGTTGATTACTGTAAGTTGGTCCAGGACAAAGTGCAAAATCAAGCACTCAGAGTTACCACAGGCAGTATGAAATCAACACCTATAGCTGTGATGGAGAAAATGGGGATGACCCAAGCACTGAGTGAACGCAGAGACACCAAGATGCTTTTACAGGCAGAAAAGTTTCTTAGCATGCCTAGTCACCCTATGAACGGAAGATTACAACATCTAGCTTTGGGGCGACTAAAGAGAAGCAGTTTCATCCAACAGGCCAAATGGCTCTGCAGATAAACCAATGATCTGCCTGCAACTGATAGCCCCTTAAATGCTGTTCCAGAAGGGACTTCCTGGAGCGAGGAGTTTGAGTTTCCAATACACATCAAGACAGAAGTGAAAAGAGTATTTGTCAAGGAAGAACAAAACAGTTTGCACCGTAAAACAGCCAACCTCAGTCTACTTGATGATGAATACCTGCAGAATCTTCAAGTACATGTTTACATAGATGGGTCAGCACAAAATGCAATCAGAAACAGAGGAGCAGGAGTGTACATTTAGCATCCTAATAATACCAGGGATACAGCCAAAATACCAACAGGAAAGCATTGTCACAACTACAATACATAAGTTCATGCCATTAAGATAGCAGCAGAGAAACTACTAAATACAGGGTATATTTCACAACCAATGGTATTCTGACATGCAAAAGTGGTACTTCAGGCACTTCAGCGAAGTTCATACTAGAGACAGCATTGATATGGATATACAGTTATAAATAATTTTGTTTCAAGCGAATGAAAGAAGGAGAAGTTAGTCCAAGACTAGCAACATTTTCTCTTTTTGTTGCAGATTAGCTCAATGAACCCTGACAACCAGAACTATCTGATCTCCTACAAGAATGCAGCATTACTTCAGGCTTGTACCAGGTAATGTCGGGATTGTGTACTTGCTGTTGGCTTCGATGTATAATACTGGGCTAGTAAACAACATCCTCCATGCCTTCGGGTGTATTGGGCACATAGGTTTACACCTCTTTTTTTATAGACCAGTTGGTATTGATGGGTGATGTGGTCAGCATCAGGCCGTCCACCTTTACTTCTCATAACTTTGCTGGTACCTATTTCAGGCTGGGTCACCCTGAGAACTAAGGTCATTTTTTAAACAAGTCTGGCTACATCAGGACATGATGTTTCTTTTCTGCACTCACCAGCTGTAATTCTAGCAGAAAGTCGGTTCTTAATTTATAACGTACCCCAAACACGAAATCCCCGTGGGAAATCCACAGCTGACCTGACAGTCCATTATTTGAAGGGGTGGAAGTGTGCTGTTGTGTGTTTATTTTTTTGAGTGTTCATCTAGTGTCTTCTAATACTAACCCTAACCCTAAACTTGGCTGTAGATAAATCGCGAGAAACTACAACCTGAACACCCTAGAATTTATTGGGAATGTCTCCCGTGACGTTGTCGTGACGTCAGGGGTAAGTTATAAATTAAGTACCGAAAGTTCTAGTTATTCATAATTTTTTCCACTTAATCTTTTTCTAGAACTTAGTTTTGCATCCACTTTACAGATTTGTTGGTTCCTTGTCTCAGGCAAATGAACTCTGACTTCAAAGGAAACACCCCCTAATTAGTTTAATTCTGCGACCTGCTTGTTCGGGTGGCAGCGGGTCTATTCTTTCAGAACCCACATGGGGACAACATGATGATGATTGTGATACAGTCAGGATCTATTGATTATGCTCTAAATATTTGAGCTATGGAGTTTGTGCTTTGTGCGACACTATAGGCAGGTGGCTAGTCCTACTTTGAATGAAACCAAGCCAGACAGGACAAAACCCGGTTTAATAAAGTTGATCCTCTGAACTTTTTAGTTTTAACTTTTTAACTTTAAGATTTTAATAGCTAGTGTGCTGGTGGTAGTTATTGCTAGTATTATGAACATTTCAGTCAACAGTGTTGTAGTAGTTGCTAGTATTATGAACATTTCAGTCAACAGTGTTGTAGTAATTGCTAGTATTATGAACATTTCAGTCAACAGTGTTGTAGTAATTGCTAGTATTATGAACATTTCAGTCAACAGTGTTGTAGTAATTGCTAGTATTATGAACATTTCAGTCAACAGTGTTGTAGTAATTGCTAGTATTATGAACATTTCAGTCAACAGCGTTGTAGTAATTGCTAGTATTATGAACATTTCAGTCAACAGTGTTGTAGTTATTGCTACAGAATTATCTCCTCGCGTATGAATGTTTGACATCAACAACATAATTTCCTCAGAACATTGAGACTATGCCAGACTTGTATGCCATCATACAAGATGCTAGAAAATGTGGAGGAAAACAAAGCACTGAAGGATCTGCCTGGTTACACCATCTTGACCTGCATGCTGGCTGTTTTGAGGGTGTTGCTGAACGTCACTCACGAGAACCGTAAGTTTCTTCCTGAATTCTTTTTGTCCTTGTTGCCTGTATTTACCACTGTGTGGTTAGGGGGGGGGGGGGGTGGTGTGAGCGTGGTTGAACCTCCTTACCCAATGTTATTTGAAGCATAGTCTTCACAATCTAATCATGTCTCTCCACATGCCGTAATGTAATGTTTCACCACTACCAAAAGAGGTTCCTGATGTTCTGCAAATGTTCTCTTAAATATTTATTAGTTTTATGTTCTAAATAGCTAATTCATTAAATGTGTCATTAATATTCATTATCGATTATCAAATATCTCTGTGGCCTAGGCTGCTGCTGCTTCTTCTCCTTCTCCTCTATTTTTTCCTTTAAAGGATGGTTGACACTTTGTGTTGGGCGAACAGCAAGGCTGCATTATTTGTACCTTGTTGTCAGACATATCCAATTTCAGTAAATGCCTAATTCTTTGTCTTCCTTTCCAACCCCTAATGGAGCATAGACCTCAACCAACTCACACCAAGTCGTGCAGTCCTTTGCTACTGCATGCAGCTCTCCCCATATCGTCCCCCTCCAGCTTCTCACTAGCTTCTTTCTCTCTGTTTTTTTTCCCCTTTCTTTATTTCTATGCATATGTGGGTTCCAGTGCAGAGACATTCTAATTATATTGCCCTCAGGTTTACTCACCAAGTGTCCTATCCAACGCCAGCATCTTTTCTTCACCTATTGGTCCACTGAAACTTGTTTAGTTTTCTCCGAAAACTCTACATTAGTGATTCTATCATACCATTTAATTCCCTCTATTCTATGCAATCACCAGTTAATAAATATTTGTAGTTTATTAGTAATTGCCTTAATTGTTTTGACCTCCACAAATTCTCTAGTGTTATGAAAGCCGCTCTTACCTTTTGTATCTCTATTTTAATATCTCTATAAGGTCTCCCATTTTTATCTACATTACTGCCCAAATAGGTGAACGACTCCATGCCTTAGAGTCAGATACCATTAAGAGAACTAACATTACAATGTTAACCTGATTTATTATGATTATCTTTGTCTTTCTCTTATGGATTTTCAGACCTAGCTGTTTTGATCTTGCATCAAGTATATTTGATTTATCTTGCATCTGTTTCTGTGAATGGGACAGAAAAGAAATATCATCTGCGAAGTCCAGATCATCAAATCATCGAGCTATGTAGAGGTCTACTAGACCCCAGTTAACCCTTAATTAGTTGCATTTTATGACATGCTTGATGAAAAACAGTAGTTCTGTTCATTTTTATCCATGAAAATGTGGTCCTGAAATCCATATGGCGTAAAGAGAACATATGTGCGGTGTACTGAATGAGGGACTGGTGCTCTTATGTTAGTAATAGTATATAATGTTTTCATTTGTAGAAGATTAGTCTTGAAGTTTGAATTGTTTGAATATTGCTATTGAGTATTGCTTGCTGTTTCAATTTCTGACAAATTGGCTTACAGAGCTGGGAAATCTGGACTTGGAAGTGGAGACCTCTCTGATGGAAACCATTGTACGGTGCTTGACAACAACACATTGGTGTGTCCCTATGGAGCAGAGGTTCGATCTGGCGGTATTGGTATGTCTTAGCTTTTATTAATTGTAGTTTAGCTTATTCAGAACTTTTGAATTACAAAAAACTGTGTTGAATTATTTCATTAGTGTCTGTGGACAAAAAGAGTCATTCATCTGTGGCTGTTTTCATCCATGTGTGTGAATATAAAGTGTTATTCAAATGTGTTTGTGTGTGATCAATGTATATGGATGTAAAGTCACTCAGTGTCTTGCTTCATCAGTTTATGTGGACATTGTCATTCACCCATGGATGTGTCGTCAGTGAATGTGGATGTAGAGCTTCATTCTTCTCTGCCTGATTTCATCTGTGTGTGTGAATGTAAAGTGTTACTTACATTTGTGTATATGGACAAAAAGTGTAATTCTCTTATTGCTGTTTCACCAGTGTAGATAGATGTAAAGTGTCATTCTCCTATAGCTGTTTCACCAGTGTATATGTAAAGTGTAATCCCCCTCTGTTTTAACAGTGTATATGTAAAGTGTCATTCTCCTATGGCTGTTTATCCAGTGTATAAATGTAAAGTCATCTCTGATGGCTATTTCATCAGTGTATATAGATGTTAGGTGTCATTCTCCTATAGTTGTTTCACCAGTGTATATAGATGTAAAGTGTCATTCTTCTATGGCTGTTTCAACAGTGTATATGTAAAGTGTCATCCCCTATGGCTGTTTTAACAGTGTATATGTAAAGTGTCATTCTCCTATGGCTGTTTCACAAGTGTATAAATGTAAAGTGTTTTCTCTGATGGCTATTTCATCAGTGTATATAGATGTTAGGTGTCATTCTCCTATAGTTGATTCACCAGTATATATAGATGTAAAGTATCATCCTCCTATGGCTGTTTCACCAGCGTATATAGATGTAAAGTGTCATTCTGCTATGGCTGTTTCACCAGCGTATATAGATGTAAAGTGTCATCCTCCTATGGCTGTTTCACCAGCGTATATAGATGTAAAGTGTCATTCTCCTATAGCTGTTTCGCCAGCGTATATAGAGTAAAGTGTTATTCTCCTGTACTTTGTCAGTGCCTTGGCTTGCTGATCAACCTGGTTGAGCACAGAGAGTCCAACCGCCAGGTCATGATGATCCTGCAGACGGATGTCAAGTACACAGAGAAGTCACAACCCAAAACCATGAGTGCCATCAAGGCAGTAGTAGAGGTTGGTCTGATTTTAAATATCTTTTCAACTGAACTTTGGTTCACACAGAATACCTGTACATCTCAATGTGTGTCAGTTGCCTGATGGTTATGTTTGTGGTAAGCTGTGTTTGTGTCTTCACCTTTAAAACATCTGGATCACTCATGTTTGCGGTCTACAGGCTGCAAAGCATTCTTTTGTAAAACCACATCTCTGAGTTCCCCAGACATATTTGGGTCTGTTGACTAATTGTCTGTGATTAACAGCCATGTTTTAAAACTGGTTGTTAGTGGCATGCAAAAACTCTTTTTATATTCTCAAGTCAGAGGTGTACTGCATTTTTCACAGTAACTGAAGTAGCAGTTATTAGAACACCTCACAGTAATTAAAGTACGGTACGGCATCACAAAGCATTCTAAGTTGGCAAACCATTTGATTTGCTGTCTTTGTATGAAATTTATATATGTTTCCATTATGACCCCATTTCTGATTTTTCTCTTCTGGTCACTCCTACAGCCCTCCTCAGACATCTTATTTCCATGGTTACTAATTTTCTGCTCTGTTAATGTGTGCATAGTGACCATGTCTGGTAGCGTTGAGTGGGTAGGAATGTGGTGTGTGGAGAGAGAGAGAGAGAGAGAGAGAATGAACTTGATTTTTAAAGGGTCACAAATATGGTACACAGGCCAGTCTCACATTCGGCCCTTCCAAACGCCCTTCTTTAACACAGGAGTTGTATTTTATCAATAGAGCATGTTAAATTCATATAATATGCATTTGTGAATATCAAGAAAAAAACATAACAAGCATGGGTTGTAAAATGCATGCACAGACTAGCACGCGCGCTCACACACACATACCCACATACATGCGCCCACCCACTCACTTAAACATGCTTATACACAGACACACACACAGAAACACATGCAGACACATGCGCATACACACACACACATGTGTACGAACACAAGATTCAGATAGATACACAACCACACAGGCATACACATTCATGCAGGCGCAAACACACACTCAAAAGAGAAGAAACAAGGGGGGGGGCGAGGTCTGTCTCACTAATTGGTTTGTTTAACTTCTTTTCTTTGTGTTCACCAGCTGTACACTCTGGCGTAAAGTTCTGGTTGTTCGTCCACTTCTGGACTGCAGTCATGCTCCAGAACATGAGTGTTGCATGTGCATCAGTTTTACAGATCTGATTCAATTGAATGCAGACTGCTGGTTCCTTGCCTCTCAGGCAGATGCACTCTGACTTCAAAGGAAGCTCCCCAGTTAGTCGACTCTTACGACATGCTTTTGGGGAGGCCGTGGGTCTATTCTTGTTTTCAACACAATAGGGCCCCGGAACCCACACGGGGGGTTTGTTTAACTGCATCTGATAATTTCTTCATCCAATCCACCATTGTTGGTACTTCTTCACCTAATGCTACAGTACTAGAATCACTTAATGCTAACTTTTATCTACAGTACTCGAATCACCTTTTCTCTCTCTAGAGTTAGTTTTAAATGAATGACGTTAATATAGTTGTAATTTATTTGAATCTGAACTTCTTTATTGAATGAGAGTCTTACCGTAGAAGACAGTGGGGGCCTCGATGTAATTTTCTCCAAGTCAGTAGCATTTCCCATACAGCAAACCTCCATTATGGAAGCGCCCCCCCCCCCCCCCCCCCCCCCCAACAAACAAACCAAATTTGAATTCTTAAAACCACTTTAGTCGTTTAATTCGTCCCCTTGTGGGATGCAATTATTCATTATTTGAAGCCCCACCCTGGCTTTTTACGGGGGCCCTGAATATGGCTGGCACACAGTTTTGGTGGCCATAGCGGCTGACATGGGTTTCTGGGACCCTCCACGGGTGATCCTCATCCGCATGGTGGCACTTTGTATCACTGGGTGATTATCACTTGTGTGATGTCCTGGTGGGGAACAACAAGCAAGCAAGTTGAGACCACTTCAACAACTGTTGCTTGAAATAATTGATGAACCCAGAGAACAAATGCAGATGAAGTCGAATGTTTTTGCTAGAAGGCATAAATGACACAGCTGTGCTGTAAAAAAGCACAATGAAACTGTGACACTTGATCAGCGATGAAGTAGTAGGTGGTGGAACAGAAGAAGTAGTAGGTGGTGGAACAGAAGAAGTAGTAGGTGGTGGAACAGATGAAGTAGTAGGTGGTGGAACAGAAGAAGTAGTAGGTGGTGGAACACAAGAAGAAGTAGTAGGTGGTGGAACAGAAGAAGTAGTAGGTGGTGGAACAGATGAAGTAGTAGGTGGTGGAACACAAGAAGAAGTAGGTGGTGGAACACAAGAAGTAGTAGGTGGTGGAACAGATGAAGTAGTAGGTGGTGAAACAGAAGAAGTAGTAGGTGGTGAAACAAAAGAAGAAGTAGGTGGTGGAACAGAAGAAGAAGTAGGTGGTGAAACAAAAGAAGAAGTAGGTGGTGGAACAGAAGAAGAAGTAGGTGGTGAAACAAAAAAAGAAGAAATAGAAATTGTTGGTTCTTTTAATAATTATTCTTATTTGTATGTGTGTATAACATCCTTTCTATTTATAAATTATCCTTTTTGTTATGGCCATGTAAAGCATTGAGGATATGCTCATTTCTTTTACTAGAATGACTTAACTGTCAATATGGTTTCTTTGTAGTTGTTGTATGATGTCCTAATAGCTTCTGTATAGTTGTTGTCTATGGTTCTCAGCTGTTTGTTCAGAGGGAAGAGGCTGCCCGTCAGATGGAAGAAGACACATTGGGCACTCCAGATACTGCTGCTGCAGCTGCGGAGTCCCCGAACAAGAGTGGTGAGTGGAAGGAGACAGAGGCAGGCATAGAGTGGATTACTAACAACCTGAAGAAGGCCAAAGAAGAGGAGGAGAAGCAGAAGAAAGCTACTAAAGGAGGGGAGACCTCAGAGGTAGATGAGGGCAACCAGAGCATACTGGAGGATGACGAGGAGACATTTACGAAAGGTTGGTTATGGCTGTCATTGTATGTCTTTCATAAATGTCATTAAATTTTGCCTAGGTAATAACATAATAATATAATAGCCACCAGTGGGAGCTGCCGTAGCATAGCGGCTAGAGGCTTGCCTGCCTATCAGAAGATTGTGGGTTCAGGTCTTGATGGAGCCTGACTTTTCTTTCAAAAATGACCTTGGTCACCCTGACCTTAAATGGGTACCAGGTTAAGTTCTAGGAAGTAAAGGCAACTAGTGTGATGCCGACCACATCGCCCATCAAGTGCCGACTGGTCAGTAAAATTTAGGCCTGGCCCTATGTACCCAATACACCTAAAGGCTTGGTAAAGGGTCCTTTGCTTTACAATAGCCACCAATGTGTGAGCTCCAAATTATAATTCTATCATATATTTAATTATGTATACTTAAAGTGTAATTAATAATATGATTTATTATTATAATAATTATATGTGTATATATATATATATATATATATATATATATATATATATATATATATATATATATATATAATGTAATAGAATATAAGGCAAATAAGATTGACTCGCTGATGGTTAATCACATACATAGAAAATATATTGTGTACTATAACAATTAATAGTCCTTGTTCCTGGTGGGATTTATGTCCATAGAAAACTGCATGATGTGTTTTCTGTTCATGATTGAATTTACACGTATAGAAAATGAAACCTGCAGTATGAGAATAATTTTTTTTATCACCTTATGATTTCACGTAGCTCTTCATAAAGCCGGCAGACACATGGAGAACAGCATTGTGGCTTCCTACGCTGGACTTCTCCTGGGCTCCACAATTGTTGATAATAAGGTAAATCTGACTCTCTCCCTATGTGATTCCTCCCTGTCTTGTTATCTGTTGTTGTTCCTTCTTGCTTATTCTAGCAATATTTCTGTGTGTTCGCAGTTAAGAAGGGGGAAGAACTGACACAGAATTATTCAACAGGCACTGAAATGGGGGACAAATAGGCAGTGATTATGCCCAAGAGAAACCCTAAGATGAACAGTGTTGAGAGAAGCCAAAGATGCTGGACTAGACTGGATTTTGAAAGGATTGCATAGGATAGAATAGAATGGAAAACTACTGCAAATCCTTTGTGACATATAATGGCATGACAGAATGATGTTATTGTCAGTACTGTTATGGCAGTAGACTGCGAAAGTATTATGATAGGCCTTTATATGAGGTAGGTTGTGTAATCATGACAGCAGACCTTTATATGGGCAGGTTTGTGTAATCATGACAGCAGGCCTTTACATGGGCAGGGTTGTGTAATCATGACAGCAGGCCTTTATATGAGCTGGGTTGTGTACATTATGACGCAAGCCTTTTGTTGGGAAAGTGAGGCAGAAGGAATCCATGAGAGATGCTGAACAGTTTGGCATCATGGCAGGGAAGATTGTCTCAGAAAGGATTGACAGTTGCAATAGACAGAAGGCTGTGCACAGCAATCAATAAAAGCAAATGTGAGAGACTACCAGCACCACTAGGCATTGAATACAAGCAGATGTGAGAGACTACCAACACCACTCGGCATGAAATACAAGCAGATGTGAGAGACTACCAACACCACTAGGCATTGAATACAAGCAGATGTGAGAGACTACCAGCACCACTAGGCATTGAATACAAGCAGATGTGAGAGACTACCAACACCACTAGGCATTGAATACAAGCAGATGTGAGAGACTACCAGCACCACTAGGCATTGAATACAAGCAGATGTGAGAGACTACCAACACCACTAGGCATTGAATACAAGCAGATGTGAGAGACTACCAGCACCACTAGGCATTGAATACAAGCAGATGTGAGAGACTACCAACACCACTCGGCATGAAATACAAGCAGATGTGAGAGACTACCAACACCACTCGGCATGAAATACAAGCAGATGTGAGAGACTACCAGCACCACTAGGCATTGAATACAAGCAGATGTGAGAGACTACCAACACCACTCGGCATGAAATACAAGCAGATGTGAGAGACTACCAACACCACTAGGCATTGAATACAAGCAGATGTGAGAGACTACCAACACCACTCGGCATGAAATACAAGCAGATGTGAGAGACTACCAGCACCACTAGGCATTGAATACAAGCAGATGTGAGAGACTACCAACACCACTCGGCATGAAATACAAGCAGATGTGAGAGACTACCAACACCACTCGGCATGAAATACAAGCAGATGTGAGAGACTACCAGCACCACTAGGCATTGAATACAAGCAGATGTGAGAGACTACCAACACCACTAGGCATGAAATACAAGCAGATGTGAGAGACTACCAGCACCACTAGGCATTGAATACAAGCAGATGTGAGAGACTACCAACACCACTCGGCATGAAATACAAGCAGATGTGAGAGACTACCAGCACCACTAGGCATTGAATACAAGCAGATGTGAGAGACTACCAACACCACTCGGCATGAAATACAAGCAGATGTGAGAGACTACCAACACCACTCGGCATGAAATACAAGCAGATGTGAGAGACTACCAGCACCACTAGGCATTGAATACAAGCAGATGTGAGAGACTACCAACACCACTAGGCATGAAATACAAGCAGATGTGAGAGACTACCAGCACCACTAGGCATTGAATACAAGCAGATGTGAGAGACTACCAACACCACTCGGCATGGAATACAAGGTGAGAGACCACCAGAACCACTCGGCATGGAATACAAGCAGATGTGAGAGACTACCAACACCACTAGGCATGAAATACAAGCAGATGTGAGAGACTACCAACACCACTAGGCATTGAATACAAGCAGATGTGAGAGACTACCAACACCACTCGGCATGGAATACAAGGTGAGAGACCACCAGAACCACTCGGCATGGAATACAAGCAGATGTGAGAGACTACCAACACCACTCGGCATGGAATACAAGGTGAGAGACCACCAGAACCACTCGGCATGGAATACAAGCAGATGTGAGAGACTACCAACACCACTCGGCATGGAATACAAGGTGAGAGACCACCAGAACCACTCGGCATGGAATACAAGCAGATGTGAGAGACTACCAACACCACTAGGCATGAAATACAAGCAGATGTGAGAGACTACCAACACCACTAGGCATTGAATACAAGCAGATGTGAGAGACTACCAGCACCACTAGGCATTGAATACAAGCAGATGTGAGAGACTACCAACACCACTCGGCATGAAATACAAGCAGATGTGAGAGACTACCAACACCACTCGGCATGAAATACAAGCAGATGTGAGAGACTACCAGCACCACTAGGCATTGAATACAAGCAGATGTGAGAGACTACCAACACCACTCGGCATGAAATACAAGCAGATGTGAGAGTCTACCAACACCACTAGGCAAGGAATACAAGCAGATGTGAGAGACTACCAACACCACTAGGCATGGAATACAAGCAGATGTGAGAGTCTACCAACACCACTAGGCATGAAATACAAGCAGATGTGAGAGTCTACCAACACCACTAGGCATGAAATACAAGCAGATGTGAGAGACTACCAACACCACTCGGCATGAAATACAAGCAGATGTGAGAGTCTACCAACACCACTAGGCATGAAATACAAGCAGATGTGAGAGACTACCAACACCACTCGGCATGAAATACAAGCAGATGTGAGAGTCTACCAACACCACTAGGCAAGGAATACAAGGTGAGAGACTACCAACACCACTCGGCATTGAATACAAGCAGATGTGAGAGACTACCAACACCACTCGGCATGGAATACAAGCAGATGTGAGAGACTACCAACACCACTCGGCATTGAATACAAGCAGATGTGAGAGACTACCAACACCACTAGGCAAGGAATACAAGCAGATGTGAGAGACTACCAACACCACTAGGCAAGGAATACAAGCAGATGTGAGAGACTACCAACACCACTAGGCAAGGAATACAAGCAGATGTGAGAGTCTACCAACACCACTCGGCATGAAATACAAGCAGATGTGAGAGACTACCAACACCACTCATCATGGAATACAAACATAAGAAACTATAAAAATGATCATCTTGTCATCTAGAGTAAGAGTGTGGTGGATAGCCGTCTTTGTGTTGGCTGTGTAACATTTTGTTTGCAGATTTACAACAAAAGAACCAAGGGGGAACAACTCTTGTTATGCCAGTGGTGCGTTGGGTGCTAGGCTCATAATTGTGTAGAGCAGTCTGCAGTCAGTGCATAAGTGGCCAACATCACCACCGACACCTTTACTTCCCAGGACTATTCCTGTTAGCAGGTTTTTAGGCCGGGTCAACCTCGGAGCCAAAGTCAGTTTTTTTAAAAACCTGCCTGACACAGATTTGAACCCAAGACCTTAGAGCAGGCAGGTGCTTAGCCACTATGATATTCCAGCTCCCTTTGTTTGCCTGGATTACTTTGATGTTTCTCAGTTTGAGAATTTGTTTTGTCAAATTCTCCTTACCGCTTATTTTTTACAAGTGTGGTCACTTTCCTTTGCCAGTTAATAGTTTGTCTGTTGTAATCTTCTAGTTTGGTAGTTCATATATGTATGTGAACATAATGTATATTTTTTCCTGGCCAGATAACTCCACAGTCAGGTGAGCATCTTAAAAAAAAAGCGTATCTTGAGGGAGGTTGGGTGACACAGTTAGTGGCCTCATCATCTATTGAATGCTGAATAAACATGGAATGACTTCAGGGATAATGCAGGGAAACAGGACAATTTTGCTATTTCTAGTATGTTTGGGTTATGGGTCTTGGGGGGAGGGGGGGGGGGCACTACCCATAAAAACATGTTAAACTGATTAAGGGTTTTCTAAAATTAGATGTATTGGGCTCAGAGGAGCAGATATATCTTACCCTAGCTGTTAACCACCACACACTTCAGCTGCTCTTCTTGGCCAGAAGATCTATCTCTTGTTTCATACTACTTAGTCCTTTGGTGTGCTTACTGTGATGCATGCAGTAAGGCTTGTCAGTGCTGGGGTAATACTTTTGTGAATATTCTTGTGCAGGAGTACGCTACTGTTGTCAAGAAGTTAATTCCAAATGAGGACTTTGGTCCTATGATCAAGATGCTGAAGAAATTTCTCAATTTTATGAGTCTTACGGTAAGTTGTGTTGTGGTTAAGCTAATGAGTCTTATGGTAAGTTGTGTTGTGGTTAAGCTTATGAGTCTTATAACTGGAATGACTCTCTATTCTCTTCTATCTGGCTCTCTTCATTGCACGATTCCTATTTCATACACCGACATCACACTACGAGCAGAAAATGGACGACTGGAAAACAACACAAGACTGTTTCTGCACTTTATTCTTCCACTCGCGGCTTCCTCACATGAAATAGACTACTGTCCAAGCATACATTGTAACTCAAAATAGCATAAGTATCATTTTGACCTTTTAGCCGAAATCACAATCATCCTACCACAAGCATAATGAACGAAAACACAACAGCTGTCCAGACAGAAAACTAACACAGCCGGCAGACAACTTGTCTGCTCGCACCATTTGCCAAGTTGAACGTTGGAACTACATTCACTCTCATACACATGTTGGATTCACACACCTTCCACCGTTGTCCATGCACTCCGTTCCTGGGCCCAAACGAGACAGACTACCAGCCCTTTCTAAGGCATTATATATCCTTCTAATGCCCCTCTTCGTACACCGGAATTCTCCGTGTTCCCTGATTTACATGAATTCGATTTGGCCAGCACTTTCTATGTGATCCCCGTGAATTTCACGTGGGCAGCAATTCTTTGCCATTTTTATGATAGTTCGTCTGGTCAGCATTTCTCTTAAAATATTCCACTTTCATTAATTACTGACGTCATTCCATCTGGGCATAATTTATCTAGGAGAAAATGAGGCTCACTACAACAACTATTTTATATTTAACAATACATTTACTTTTTGGGGGCATTTCTCCATCTGAGGGAGAGATTACCTCTGGTCTGGCATGTTGGTCACCATTGCTCCTATTTGTGAGTGGACAATGTTTTCAGGTAGTCTTTTTCCTTCCTCCTCCTTCCCCCCCCCCCCCCCCTTCCCAACCGTTTACTATGTTTTTTGTTTTGGGCCCCTTAAGGATTTTGTCTGCACGAGTTCACCTCCTGCATACATGAAAGTTGATTCATAGTCTCTCACACTTAGTATAGCTATGCTTGCAGAAGCTATGGTTTGCTGTTGGTTGTAAACCTTTTTGCCCCTCTAGTAAAAATGTGTCCATGACAGCACCTCATGGTGACCTTGTTCTCATAGTTCCACACAAAGACGTTAGAGTGCATAGTAGCTATGTCTTTAAATGTGATCCAGAAAATTTTTACTTGTGATTGGAACAGGCCACATTGCGGCTCTTTTGGCAGCCTACAGTTGACAGTGTTGGAGCGCATGCTTGGCATTTTATGTTGCCACGCTACAGGGACATATCTCTGCGTTTCCTACACCAACAAGTTTGAATATATGTTAGCAAAGTCTGGTGTGCCTTGTCCTTAGCCTGAATATAAAACAGTGTCCCTGTCTAGAGAGGCATTGAATAGTTAAGTTGGCCTTGTTAATTAGAGTGGCAAACACAATTGTGACTTATCTTTGTAAAAGAATAAGCAAGATTTAATTAACAAGCTGTTTGAAATAATATGATCAAGATATGAAATAATATGATGATCAAGATATGAAATAATATGATGATCAAGATATGAAATAATATGATTGTCAAGATATGAAATAATATGATTGTCAAGATATGAAATAGTATGATGATCAAGATATGAAATAATATGATGATCAAGATATGAAATAATATGATGATCAAGATGTGAAATAAAATGATGATCAAGATGTGAAATAATATGATGATCAAGATGTGAAATAATATGATGATCAAGATGTGAAATAATATGATGATTAAGATGTGAAATAATATGATGATCAAGATGTGAAATAAAACCTTGAACTTTTCTGTTTGCAGACAGCCTTTGGCAGCACCGATGTCAACGGCATCACAAAAGTCATTGATGTCCTGGAAACGGCATGATCATAACTCAGCTCTTTGGTCCCCCTCCACACAGATTTTGTCTTGTTGAATCACCCTTCCAAACGTTACTTGTCATTTTTTTTTGTACAGTCTACTGCCATTTCTGTCTCTGTATAATCTACATACAATTGTCACTATATGTTCATGGAGTACTCATTGTATGGATGCCATATTGTATTTCACTTTGTCAACTCTTCTGCTACCAGAGGACAGGTATATTAACTATAATCAGTGCATGATGCGTTCGTAGGTACTGAGAGAGTTAAGATTTGTGTTGGGGACTTATGTTCACTATGGCAAATAAGCAGGTTTACTGCTTTTAGGCATGACAAGTGTTTGCTTTTGACAGTAGATAGCCATTACATTTTCCTCCATGTGTAGACTGAAAGGAATTAGTTTCGTCACCCAGCTGCTGAGCAGAGCTGTGTATTGGAATCTTATCTGTGTCTAGTAGGGCTTGTCTTGTTAACTGCCAATTCAAAATGGTGAGTGGCTGGTTGCCATAGTAATTGTGGAGCCTTTTGCGATTTTTTTGCATGTGGAACTACTGATCTGTTGTCTGCTACTCCTATCGACAATGAGCTGCATTTCTGGAGTCACAGTGTTTGTATTGGCACTTCTGGCAGTTGCTTTATGTATTTGATGGGTGTATATGCTACAGGATTTGCTGAGACTATTTGATTCCCTTCCACAATGGATAGTGATGGACATTCTGTGTGGTTTTTGTTGGCTCAGGAACACAGTCAAGACAGGCTGACCTGTTTGCTGAGATGTTGGAACTGAGTTGCCTGATAACCAGCTGTGTGATAGTTGGAGTACTGTCCCCTAGAATTACATTTTTAAAATAGAGAATGGATTGATAGGTCAAAAAGTAATTTTTACATTTACTATGTATCCTTCATTCCTTTGCATTATAGATCAACATGGAGCATAGGTGTTTAAAATGTACAAATTTTGATACCTTCAGTATAGTTTACATGTCCTCCTTTACTGTGTTTTGATCCTGCAGTACAGCTTCTTGACTCCAGAATTTGTTATAAGTCTTGGAAGTCTCTTGGCAGCTGTTGATGGGATGTGAAACATGTCATAGAGTCATTTATGATATCAGGCTAGTGTCCCAGGTTTTACACCACTTGTGGGATAACTCATTGCTCACGACAGTGCGACTGGTTCCACAGCAGCTCGTCATGGATTATTTCCTTGTCATGGCTGGGCCATACATATTGTACACCTGAGCTTACTTTGAGCTGAGAGAACTCAATCAAGCAACACAACTGGAGATCTCATCTCATCTACATCTGTGACCTGATATATTTGCACATGTGTGTGTGGTCCTGAATACTGCTCGCTCTTACATCAATGATTGTATTCCCAGATGAAGCACATATCACTGCTTGCCCGCTGGCCATCTGTTTCCTGATTGTAATGGTCACTTGTTTCATTCAGCTCTTGGGTTTTTTAAATCAGAAAGGAGTTACTGTTCTTGCTTAGAGTAAAGATGCCCATATTGTTTGTTGATTTTTTTGTTTCGAAAATGTTTAGTTGTGTGTCATTTAAACAGCTGGGTGATTGTGAAAGATTTGAGTCTGCTTTCTTATGTGTGCCTGTGTTGATTTGTAAACATGAATTGTTAATCATGGCTTGTAGCTGCACACATCGATATTTCAAACAGTAATCAGTTGGAACAAAAAATACAGTACAAAAGAAGTTGCACGAATAAAAATATTTTAAGTTGATTTCCTGTTGCTTGACAAAGGTTCATATCGTCATGCAAACACACATTTCACAGTGACATATAGTTACATACTTTGTAACAGAAATTTGCCTTCATTACAGTGCCTGTGCTTATCAGCATGGCATATGATGTATGAAACTGTGTCTTGTGTTGAGTGTAACTCTGACGTTTCACTTGGGTGGAATCAACTATGAATCTAAAACTGGGGCTGTGTTGGACTGGGTGTTGTATTTTGCTATGGTGAAGTTGTCAGTCAGGGCGCCAGTCACCATATCATCAAAGCTGAAGCCATCGTAGCTTTTATACAGTGTGTGTGCATGCTTGTGTGCGTGTCTAACTGACATTCTAATAATATTTGTAACATTTTTAAATGTTCTGTTAAAATGGAAGCAGTTTTTGTAAAGCTGACAAAGTAATATTTAAAAAGATTTTTTTTTTGTAAAGCTGGAGTCTTCTAAACATTTAAATATCTTCTCTAAACTGCATATTTTTAATATTGACAGTTTATTAGTTTACCTGAAATTGCAGGTTTGTGAAATGTAAAGTTTTTCATCCTCCATAAAACAACAGGTTTTTCTAAAGAAGATGTGTGAACGTTGAAATCTGTTCATTTTTTTTAGTTTAAAAATTAACCTGCAGTTTTTTTAAGTATTTTTTTTTTCAAAAACTGTAGGCTTGTTAATATTTACAGTTTTTCTAAAGCAGCAGTTTCAACAGATTTTCAAAACTGCCTAAACAGTTTTTCTTGGTTGCTTGGTAATATTCAAATGGTTTAATCTAAAGCAGCAATTGTGAAAACATTTAAACATTTGATCTAAAACTGTCTAAACATTGTGTCTAAAACTGCAGGCTTGGTTATATTCAAATGGTTTAATCTAAAGCAGCAGTTGTGCAGATAACTGTTTAAGTATTTTGTCTAAATTTGAAGGCACACTAATGCGTATCATAATGTGCCTTATGTGCCAGCGGACATGTGCTCAGTGTTGTACTTTCTCTTTTGTCTTGCCTAGTTTTGTTTTATCTCATTCTGCCTCATGGTGTAACTTAACTGCTGCACACCAAGACGTTATCATACAGAAAAACTGTTTAGACAGATTTTTACAGCTAACTAGGTCAAGTAAACGCAAATTTTCCACACCTTCGTGTATATTTAGCTATAGGGCTAGACCTATGTTTTTATAGATCCAGCTAACTAAGGTGGATTCAAGTCTCATCGAGCTAGTGTAGAGTTTTTATGAAACAAGATACTGGTGGTCATTGTTTGTCTCCAGGATTGCTGTCCACAGGATAAACACTTCAAGCAGGAGAATAAGAGAGAAACAAAATCTAGAAACCCCACTCAGCCGTATGACTTGGGTTGTATTAGGGCACCCATACCGTTTCAAAATAACCTGTGTTCTGTGTCATGATAGAATAAAACCAAACAAGTTCATGTTAACCCAACACTTTGTGTGACTGAAACATACTGATGTTGAACACATTTTTACAACACTTTGTGTGACTGAAACATGCTGATGTTGAACACATTTTTACAACACTTTGTGTGACTGAAACATACTGATGTTGAACACATTTTTACAACACTTTGTTTTGAGTTTGAATAGGTCAGATTTGTCATATACATACATAATGTTTATTTGTAGAATATACATTTATTAAGCTCTAAACATCATATACGTCTGGCTTATGTCAAACCATTATTTATGTGTGTTTTTTCTGTATATTTGCTAACAAAGATTATGCTGATTTGTAATGGTCATCTTTCTAGGCATGCTTGCAAGAATTGTACATTTTCATCTATACACCAAACTGATTTAATGCTGTTACGTACACCAAACTGATTTATGCCTATGTTTGATTTATCATTACATTACTCATAACAAATAATATTTACATTTGTTTGCATTAAAATTATTTATGTTATTACACCAGGTTATTATTTTGAAATGATAGTTGTGTTGCCAAATTTCAGTCTTGTGACCACGTTGACATGTTGTACAGCTTAGTTTTGTGGCTAGAATTTTGTTTTCCTTTTTGTTTTTTTGTGTGGCCAACATTAATTTTTTCAGTTTGATTTTGTTGTCAGATTGTCATTTCAAAAACTTTTCAAACTGTTATTTAGTGGGGGTTTTTTGGTAGACATTTTAATTTACATTTTAGGCGTGTTGTTAAATATATATTGTTTTCATTGATAGAATTGTCTCATTGATTGTAATTATTCATTATATTTATCAGTAAATGTTATCAGTGTAATCGGTTTTTAGTTCATAGCTTAAAGTTTCTATGTCATGTCCATTATTTCTAATCGAGATTTCTCTGTAGATTTGTAGCAAAACATTGTCAGGTTTTCAAGGTGAACGTAAAAGCCACTGTTTTATTGAGATGTTTGATCTCTGTACAGTTGCACAGCCTGTGATGAGTAATAGGCTAAGAATATGGTGATGGGGTTAAGCTGCCGCATGCAGGTCATGTGATGAGTCCTCGAGCAACAGCAGTACCAGAGCACCATAATGGCTCTGTATTTATGGAAGTCTCAATGCAAAGTGGGAATCCCCCGTGTGGGTTCCGGGGCCCTATTGTGGGGAAAACAAGAACAGACCCACTGCCTCCCCAAAAGCATGTCATAAGAGTCGACTAAGTGGGGAGCTTCCTTTGAAGTCGGAGTGCATCTGCCAGAGAGACAAGTACTCAACAGTCTGTATTCAAGAGAATTAGATCTGTAAAACTGATGCACAAGCAACACTCAGGTTCTGGAGCAGGACTGCAGTTCACTAATGGACGAGCAGCCAGAACTTTCCGCCAGAGTGTATAGCTGGTGAACGCAAAGAAGAAAAAGAAGAAAGTGGGAATGCCCACGTTCTGACCCCGCCTTCTCTTGAGGGCTGGCCAGGATGCACATGCATGGACTAGATTGAAAGGAGGCGGGGCGCACCACATCGGAGGTTAGATGGTAGAGATGAAGACAACCATGAAGCTGTGCGGTGTCTCATAAAGCTAACCAAGTAGGCTCACCCAGAAAACAAATGTCAAATACAGTTTGATGTGTTTGACTGAAAGGTGCAAACATTGCAAGCAGCAATGCTGTTAGCAGCCACAATACAATTGCGTCACTCGAATGAACGATGTTGAAGAAGAGCTTTGTTTTTGTCAGGTGAAACCTGTTGTATTTTTCAGAGAGTGAGGAAGGTAGTGTACTAGATTATTGTTGCATCGAAATGAAACATTTCATTTAATCTAAGACCCTTCAATGATTTAACTATTCTGACATGAAAATAGAATGTTCAAACTGGCATGTTCTACATAGAGATAAAAAAAAAAAAGTGAGTTGCGTATCATTTCATTTAATCTAAGACCATTCAATGATTTAACTATTCTGACATGAAAATAGAATGTTCAAACTGGCATGTTCTACATAGAGATGAAAAAAAAAAAAAGTTAATTGCATATCCTTTACAGGACCTTGCAGAACCAACCCCAGCATGTTTTGGCTGTTGTGGTTTTTTTAGGCAAATTTACATCCCGTAGTTTGCCGTTGCATTTCTGGACGTGGAGTACATTGGATCATTTGATAAGACTCAGATCAGTGATTTGTTAAGCCATGGAGATGCAGGTGGGTAGGGCAGCTGGTAGACTGGCTGCTGCCAGTCCGCTCAGAGGTTATCAGCTTTATTATATGCAGACAAAGTTCCGTGATCCAGTCAGTAATGTATTAGAAGACAGTATCTGTTCCTGGTAGAGCTACTTCCCTGGGTGTGAATAAGACAGTATCTGTTCCTGGTAGGGTTACTTCCCTGGGTGTGAACAAGACAGTACCTGTTCCTGGTAGGGCTACTTCCCAGGGTGTGAACAAGACAGTACCTGTTCCTAGTAGGGCTACTTCCCAGGGTGTGAACAAGACAGTATCTGTTCCTGGTAGGGCTACTTCCCTGGGTGTGAACAAGACAGTATCTGTTCCTGGTAGGGCTACTTCCCTGGGTGTAAACAAGACAGTATCTGTTCCTGGTAGGGCTACTTCCCTGGGTGTGAACAAGAAAGTATCTGTTCCTGGTAGGGCTACTTCCCTGGGTGTGAACAAGACGTATCTGTTCCTGGTAGGGCTACTTCCCTGGGTGTGAACAAGACAGTATCTGTTCCTGGTAGGGCTACTTCCCAGGGTGTGAACAAGACAGTATCTGTTCCTGGTAGGGCTACTTCCCAGGGTGTGAACAAGACAGTATCTGTTCCTGGTAGGGCTACATCCCTGGGTGTGAACAAGACAGTATCTGTTCCTGGTAGGGCTACTTCCCTGGGTGTGAACAAGACAGTACCTGTTCCTGGTAGGGCTACTTCCCTGGGTGTGAACAAGACAGTATCTGTTCCTGGTAGGGCTACTTCCCTGGGTGTGAACAAGACAGTACCTGTTCCTGGTAGGGCTACTTCCCTGGGTGTGAACAAGACAGTATCTGTTCCTGGTAGGGCTACTTCCCTGGGTGTGAATAAAACAGTATATGTTCCTGGTAGGGCTACTTCCCTGGGTGTGAACACAAGGTCTGGATGATTGCACAATTTCCAGGAAACAAGATAAGTGGGCTTTGCTCAAGATTCCACAGGCTCTAGAATTATGGGATGACAATTGTCATTGGTTGCTGACAAGAAAATATGGGAATCTCTGTAGTGGAAGCTTTAGGCACATGAAGTACGTAAAATATATGTTCTCATGTTGTCATGTACATACAATTTGTTTAGCCTGTGTTTATGAGTTAAGGATGTAAGTGCCTGCCGCTGCCAGGGACTGCATGTTTGCCACTGATCCTCCACTTCTGTTGGCTGTAAATATCCTGGCAAGTGTTGTCACAATATAACACTTGCCTGGCAACATGCCAGTGTAATATCCTGGCACATGTACTCCATGTTTGTCTTCACTGTACAGATGATTTCTGTGACATCTTTGTCTGTGACTGGTGGAGCAGAGTCTCACACATCTTTGTTTAATTTCCCCTATTGACAACCTTGAAATGCCTTTTGTCTGTCATGCAAGCATTTTTTATTCTAATTTTTTAATGTATTTTTTTTAAAGACTTTTGCTTCCCTAACCTTTGTTGCTGTAACTTAGTTGAAACCCAAGTCATAAAATCACTTAAGCACACTGTCAGACATTAAATATGTTGGGATTTTTACCGAGGAAGGAAACACAAAAGCAACTAGGGATCTCGACCTGCATCTGATAGATAAAGACCGTAGCCAGCCATTGTTATGAAATAATGAATACTTTGAGGGTGATTATTCTGTCAATGAACATGTAAATATCGTTACATATTACATGTGAAGCAAACAGAACAGCAAGACTTATTAAGAAAAGGATAGACAGAAAGGCGACTGCAGGAGATCTCCCTGGCACAACACTCAGTCCCTGTCCTCACTGTCCAAGAACTTTTTGGGCCTGCATTGGCCTCATCAGTCATCTTCGTACTCATACTTGATGAAAAGGAGTGGTTATCATCATCTTGATGGACAACACACACACACACACACAAGTATGGTCTGTACTGATGGAAGTTTGTATTTTAGACTGAGGTAGCCTGCACATCATTCTAGACAAGTTGGTGGCAGATGCTGAGAAACATCGATTATCCTTAAATATTATTAAAATTGACTGTTTTGTTGTTCTGAAGAAAGAATACCTTTTGTGCTTCTTATATTGTAAAGAATTTAAAATAAACATTGACATATAACAAGCTTTTTCAGTTTCTAGATGACACAATGACATTTGATTGGAAGATGCGGCACAAGGACGTGACATCTAATGGGAGATAATGCACAAGGACGTGACACCTGATGGAAGCTGTGGCACTGGAAAAGCAACATAATCACCAGATTCTAAGATTTTTGTGACAAAAATTAGCAGTCACAGAAAACAGACTTGTTCCAAAACCTGAGTTTTATGTGCGTACCTGTTTTGCAGATCTGGATTATTTGTATGCAGAATGTTGGTTCCTCCCTCTTAGGCAGATGCAGTCCATCTTTGAACGAAACATTGGCCTAATTAGTCAACTCCTATGATCTGCTTGTTAAGTGGAAGTAGGTCTTTATGTTTGTTTGTCATGCTCCCATGTGGGAGACCCAGGTTAGACACTCAGTAAAGTGCTGGAGTTTTTCTGTCGGGGGCAAAAATTAAACATTCTCACCTGTACAGTCCGTGGCGGCAGCACTAGCCCTGCGGCCCTAAATGCTCAGGATCACGTCCCCTCGTTGACACCGTCCTAAAATGTGGGACATGCAGACAGTAGAGACAATTTTTTTGACAGCATAAAGGATGCAGATCATGGTCACCTCATTGGTGTCCCATCCATCCATCCATCCATCCATCCATTGATTACACTGACCACTTTCAGATATCCCCATTTCTCTGTTGTTTGTTTTCACATCATCTGCTAACTCAACACATTTTATTTTCAGCTACTGATTGCTTGCTTTGTACTTGCTTTTTGTGTGTGCTAAATTGCATTTTGTGTTCTTACCATCACTATAATTGTTTTCATGAGATATTTAAAATGGTTGAATTATCTTTGCTCTTCACCCGTTTATATAATAATGATGTTTTTTAAAGAATTGTTTTATTCCATGCTTGTTTGCCAGACAGCTTTGTTCATGTTTGTGGTGCCAGTTTTGATGATGATGATAGTTGCAGTCGCCTTGTCTTGTTTCACCTTTAATCTGGAATCATATAGCAATCATTGACACCTTGTTCATTTGTTTGTTTTGTCGGAAGAGCAGAACATGAATAAAACGTACCCACTCCATTTGTATGTTTATTAAGCAAAAACTTCTTTGGTTGTGTCCGAATATCAGGAGCCAGACCATGTTCCACTTTCTCTGGAATGATCTTAACTTTGTTCTCTGGAATGATCTTAACTTTGTTCTCTGGGTGAATGAAGAGGTTCAAAAGGAAAAGCACAGGGAAAGGGTGTGCAGAAGTAAACAAGGAAAAAAAAAATGAATTAAAAGTAAGAAAGGGTGGAAATGACAAAATAAATGAATCAAATTGAAAATAGTAAGAAATGAAGTTTAGAAATAAAAACGTTGAAAATTAAAATAAAAAGACGGAAAGAAAGCACCCTGAGTGAATCCCACACCTGCTGCGACTCCTCCTTCAGTAGCCAAGAAAGAGTAGTATCAGTTGAAACCTGATTAAAAGTCCACCATTGTTTAGAAGAGACCATTTAAATAATGAAATAAATAATAAGACACTAGAAGTGATTAAAAAAAAAGGGGTGGGGGGAAAGGAGGTAAGACAGAAAGAAGAAGCAGTTAGCAAAGGATTTCAATCATAGAGATATGAAATGTGCATGAGAGAAACAGTAGCAGATTTAGTGTTCATTTTAGAGACAACATTGCAGATAATCTTTAAAGAAAGAAAACATTTGCGAGATTTGAACACGGTTACATAACGATAAGTGCTCTGCCACCAGTACGGACAGCTGATAAGAAACTGTCCGCCTGTGTTGCTGTTCGCACGAAACTTCGTAGCTACAGCGACGTTCCTACTTTTACCCCAAAAGTTTTAACTCTGGTACCCATTTCCTGGAGGCTAGGTGAAACCCGGGAACCGCCCGGTTTCGAACACCGGCCGTGGGCTGTAGCGAGTCGCAGCTGGATTTGAAAGCGAGTCACCTATCGACTGCGCTAACGCTGCCCCACATAAAGGTTAGTTGCGTATCCTTTACAGGACGTTGCAGAACCAACACGAACAGCCCCTGGCTGTTGTTTGGGTTTTCTAGGCAAATTTACGTCCAGTAGTTTGCCATTGCTCCTGGACGGTCGGCTATCTCGATACCACGGTCGAAACCAACGCAAGGCGCATGACCCGCAGCTGGGATCGAACCCGGCATTACGAGCCTTCGCATCGACTTAGCCACAGAGCGGCTTCACATAGAGAAATAGATAATATCTTTCAAGCGAACGAAAGAAGAAGTAACATAAAAAAGAGTAAATAAATGGGAGGGTATGGGGGCACCAGAAGGGAAAAATAAAAGAGGAAAAGTTGAGGGGGAAAAAAAAGGAAAAGTCGAGAGATAAAAACACTGTGTAAGCACCTTGGGTGTAGAAAGGCGTCGGGGTGCCATCTGCTGTCACACGTTGTTAATCAGAACCCGGGCAGGCACGAAACTTAGCACACTTCCCAACACTTTCACGACCATGTTCTCACGTGCAACGCGTGCACAAAGGGTGCGAGCTGGTGTGTGAGAACTATAAATGTCGGACCGGCTGAAAGCCATGGATAGCTCACCGTCCCCACATTGGACTAATTTTTCGTTATTTTGAAACTCTCATTCTGGTTGTTGGCGGGGGCCCTAATATAACCTAACGGCTGAACAGGGTTTCTGGGACCTCTGCACGAGTGATCCTCGTCCGAATGTTGGCACTTTGTGTCACGGGATGTTTATTGCTTGTGTTATGTCCTAGTGGGGTGAAAAGTCAAAGCCATGGCGACTTGCCGGCCATGTTAGGTGTTGTGTTCCCGACCTGTTGGCTGACGACACAAGGCAAGAGTTGAGGGTAAATCGAAGCGGTTGCATAAATAAACCTTGCTAGCTGCGGTCTTGTATATTTCAGTGGTTATCTTCATGTCATGTCACGTTGGTCATCAAATCTTTTCTCAACATTTGTTGCACACAGGAAGCCGCCGTCTTGTATCGGCTGGATACCCGAGAGTTGGCTTGGAGACAGGGCTGTCTAAGTTGGTACTTTCGTACATGTGTTTTGTTTTTTTAAATATCCGGAAACCACAAGTTGTTAACCCTTTGTCTCGGTACTATGGATATCGCAACCCTTCCGTCTCGATTCCATGATAGGTACCGTAAATCTGGGAGAAATGTGGCTTTTCTGCCTCCCCCAGGAAGTGAACCCGGACCACAAGGAGTTCGTCACCCGGTCACGGCGATGTCAAGTTTAACCGACTACGCTAGAGAGATGGGCGTACTTTCGTACATATGTGGTACTATCTGACACTTCCTGGCCGAGGTCAACATGATAGTCCTTGCCCTACCCCCCCCCCCCCCAACCTCCAGGATGTGTGTATGTGCGTATATATATATATATATAT